TTTAACTCCCCCTGCAGTCAGTGATTTTAAAGGCCAGACTTGGTTACTGTATTTTTCTACCTATTCCTCCAATATATTCTTTATTGTTAAACCATTATCCCAGTCATGATCACACTAATGTAGTACAGATCTCTCTCCACCAGAGGTCAGTAGTTAATGGCTGAGAAAGGGAATTATGTGCAGCCATAGACTTCTATGTGTGCAGCATTATTGAGCAGAAGTTAGACTGAAAAAAAGAGTCTAAAAAAAATTGCTGGATATTTGTGACAAACTGGATTTGCAAAAGCTTTCAAAAAATACAAGGAAGGATAGTTATACACTTTTTAAATCATGTACGCTAAGCTGTTTGTACCATGTTTAAACTACACTAAATTAAAAAGATGGTCTAGAACATAAATAACTGCAGTTGTAAACCATGTTAATTTGAAGTTTGACTTTATTATAATTCATTTTTGACTGTTGTTGTTTCTAATCAGGTTGATGTCTTATTTTATTTCACGATCTTTAGCAATACATATCGGATTGAGTGCTTATATTACACACAGATTTTCAATAGAGCCATAAACAGCTTTAAAAAAAAAAAAAAAAACAGTGGTAGCCCATCATAAAACTCCTGAAGTTCAGAAGTCAGTTAAACCATGTTCTGTGTAAGAGGACAGTTTTTAGGACAGCACTGCTTATACTCTGCCTCCACCATCTGTTCAACATGCAATCCTGCAGCATGTAGGAACCAGAACTGTTGGGATCCTGATTCCAAGTAGCCATCAGCTCTCTCGCTCTGGTGTTTTCAAAGCCTGACTCCAAACTAAAGCCAATATGATTATATATCCTATCTTTTTTTTTTTTTTTGTCTTAAATCTGCAGTCATGGCTCTGAAGAGTTCAACCAAATAAATGTCTATTTAGTTATTTTCCATGTCCATTTCATCATTCCAGCAACCAAAATGCTTACCAGGACCTCATCCCACTGGTCATTTACTTTGCTTCAGTATTTCCATTTGGGGCTCTATTTTTGTGCCCGCCGGCGGCGCGGCGGAGGGTGTTGGACCTGTGCAGCAGAATTTTCGTCTGGCGGGGCCCGGTGCACAGCCAGTTTGGTATTTTCTGTGGCATTGCTGTCTTCAGACATCTCTTGATCTCTTTGACTATTTCACGAAAATTGTAATACGCCTTGCCGGTGGCGGATTTAAAGGTGAGGAGAGGAGCTTATGTGACTGGCGAAAAAAGGTCTCGGCTGAGTAAAACCCACTCCACACCTTATCCCCTCCCTCTCTACAATTTACAACGCTGGGAGGAGCTGAGTTAGGGAGGGAGGATACTTATGCCGGGCTGCGCCGCCCACCAAAATACTAAAATGTGCTTTGGCACGCCTTGTCGGCGCGGCGGACCTGACTTACGCCGAGCCTATGGCATGCCGCTGGGGGGGCACGAAAATAGAGCCCTTGGTGTTGGTGGTAGTTGCAAAGTTACTTGTGATGTTAGTGTGTAGCAAAATAAACTATATTGGTGGACAGTCTCACTGTTTGCAAAGCAGAGCCAAAATAGTGCTTTGAACCTGCATTATCTCTAATGGCCAGAAGGGGGCTAAAAGTGACTCTTTGCTTTAGTCGGTTTACAGGTGAAATAAAATACATGCTAATGACGTTATGGTTAAGATTGCTTATCACAGCTCTTCAATACAGCTGATAAAAGCAGGAAATTACTTCTCTATTTGGATTTGAATAGGCAATAAAACAAAGTGTGATTCAGAACATGGCAAATGTGACTGACAAGTTACTACAATACGGTCACCACTGGCTTCAAGTCAAAAAGTTCCAACTCTTATTTGCACATACATTAGTCAAAGGGATTCTCAGTTTTATCTGTGAAAAAAATATTGAGTGTTTAATCTCTGTGTTAATATGTTGTTTGTAATGTTTAGAACAATAACTTTCAGTACAGCAACACAAATAGGCGGACACTATTAGCACCCAACCTCCTGTTTTCCTCATCAGAAGATGTTTCCTTCACTCCATATAAACCAAAAAGACCTAATGACGGGATAAAAGTGCAGCCAAAAATGAACGAAACCGGGGACTGTATGGGTCAGAACTGGTCACTGAATTTGGCCATAAATCACTTCATATAAATATTTTACTCTTCCTGTAACATGAGTTAGGATAAGACTGTAAAATGTAATGGACAATAATGCAGTACCCATCTCTTTCCACCAGAGTTCAGTCATGGGCAGCACTCCACAGACATATATATATATATATATACATATATAAGGGCGAAAATGAAACAATTTTTGCACTTGGCAAATGATACGCAGCATAAACACAAGAAAACAAGGACAGAGGAGCTGTTGCTAGATAGGCTATTTGTGACAAACTGGGTTTACAAGGGTGAGCAACAACATTTTTTGAAGAATTATAGATTATAAATGAGTATTTTCATGTGTAGATGTACTTTGTAACATAAACCTGACAATCTTAAATGTAAATGCGTCACTTCACTTCTCAGAAGCACTCATCTGCTCACTTCCGCAATGAAAACTTTAATATTTGTTTGTTTTTTGTGATTCGAATTTGTGTGTTTTCCAACTTCTTAAATGGTAGAATAGTTATCATAACCAAAATGTCAATGTTTAGACAACCAAAAAACTGTTTAGTTTTTGTGTTAGAGGGAATTTTTTGAGTCTAAAGGCAGAGTAAATATGTTTGAAAGGGATTTTCATACTCACAATCATCTATCTAATGTGTGTGAAGAAATTATTTGGTTCACTATGGCGATTATTTTCACAGTTTGTCTATTTGTAAATTACCGCTTAATTTACAAAAAACCTCACATATGCAGAAGAGCAGCTTAGAAACTTTACCAAACCTGTGTGCCTCCGAGCTCAAAGTAAAGTTCCAGCTCTTATTTGTCACAGTTAGGCTGTCTGTGACAAACTGGGTTTACAAGGGTGAGCAAAAACATTTTTTGAAGAATTATTGATTTTTAAATGAGTATTTTCATGTGTAGATGTACTTTGTGACATAAACCTAACAGTCTCAAATGTAAATGCGTCACTTCACTTCTCAGGACCACTCATCCGCTCTTCCGGGGTGACAGATTTAATATTTTTTTGTTGTTGTTGTTGTTTGTTTTTTTTAATTCAAATTTGTTTGTTTTCCAACTCCTTAAGTAGTAGACAAGTTACCATAACCAAAATGTCAGTGTTTAGACAACCAAAAAATAGTTCATTTTTTGTGTTAGAGGGAATATTTTGAGTCTAAAGGCAAAGTAATTATATTTGAAAGGGATTTTCATACTCACAATCATCTATCTAATGTATGTGAAGAAATTATTTGGTTCACTATGGCGATTATTTTCACAGTTCGTCTAGCTTTCTGTGCTTTGTCGCAGGAAATAACCAAACCTCATGTATGCGGAAGAGCAGCTTAGAAACTTTACCAAACCTGTGTGACTCCGAGCTCAAAGTAAAGTTCCAACTCTTGTTTGTTACAGTTAGGCTGTCTGTGACAAACTGGGTTTACAAGGGTGAGCAACAACATTTTTTTTTTTATGTAGTATCGATTATAAATGAGTATTTTCATGTGTAGATGTACTTTGTAACATAAACCTGACAGTCTTAAATTCAAACTGTGTTTGTTTTCCAGCTCATTAAATGGTAGAAAAGTTACCATAACCAAAATGTCAGTGTTTAGACAACTAAAGAATAGTTTTGTTTTTGTGTTAGAGGGAATTTTTGAGTCAAAAGGCAGAGTAATTATGTTTGAATGGCTGTTAGTTAGTCTATTTGTAAATTACCACTTTATCAAACCTCACGTATGCAGAAGAGCAGCCTACTATCTTTGTCCAACCTGCATAGCCCTGAGGTCAAAGTAGCTACTTCCTCTTCTTCTGAAGACTGTCAAGTTATGTAACAACTTCACTTCCTCTAACTCTTTCAGATCTGCTGTATATATAGTATGCAGTATAATAAACACCAGCACAGTAAAACTGAAGCTACAGCATAGCATGGCCTTCAAAAGATATCAGCCTTGTGTGGATTGATGTCTAAAAAATTAAATCCCTACAACAGATAAAGTATAAAAATATTGCAACACAAACTCAATTTGAGTGCATTTTTACCTTCATCCTAGTTTCACACTCAGCACTGTCCTTTATAAGAGTAGTAGAGTCCAGAACAGTGGCAGGAGTCACATCCTCTTCCTCCTACCTAATTTCTTTCCCAACAAAGTTTGTAAAAATTTGATTTGCAAAGCAAACCCTTTACAACTCAAACTATATTTACCATGTTAGGCTTTATGAAGGTCCATTGAGTTGTTTTTATAGCTTTGCTCCATGAGTTATTGATAGTTCAAATGTTTATATTTCACTTTCACAGAAAAGTCTCAAGTTTCCACAAGGTGAATGGTGACAACCTGAGGGAAATTCAGTGGTACCTGGGCAAGAGTGACGAAGATGGATCCTGACCAAACAAAATGACCTTTTGTTAAAACAAGTTGAGGGTAAACAACAATGTTTTAAGGACAATATAATAAATGGGCAGATGCTGTTAGCAGCCATGTGCATAAGAGAAAAGACAGCCAGTGAGTTCATTTTTATCTGATATCATGTCGCGACAAACTCAGGTGTTTTATCCTATTTGTACCTGACTGCATGAAGTTCACCTTACACAGAACTTTCTTCTTTCTCCCTGGATTTTTATGTTCAATGTGAAACAAAAAGTCAAGGCTGAGTATTAGCTTGCCTTTACAGTAGATCATTAGCCTATTATGCCAATCAATTATCAGCAGAAACCGATCAATGACCCTCTGTGGACAAAAACAAACAACCACAGCTGATTTCTAACACCCTAAACACTATAGCTACCTCTGGATGATGCTCAACTTGGTGAAATAGCCACACCTGTTTAGAGTATCACAATGTCCATTTAGATACCGGTGATTGAATTCAGGGGTGTTTTTCTAATCACAGTTTTCTTTAATATTATAGTCAACAGAACTAAACATGGAACAGCTATCTCATGAGCTGTCACCCTACAATGTGAGAGAGAGGGAGAGGGATGCTGTTGCTGATCTCACTGAAACACTTCATGACTTCGATCTGGAGAGTCAAGGTGAAAACAATACAGAGAGAGGAAGAGGAGAGGACTTGGAGTCAAATCAGGTGAGGTCATGTGGTGATTGAAAGGACTGTGCTGTGACAGTGTTGTGGATTTAATTATTTCACCATGTTATAAAAAACTTTCCTTAAAGGGATACTTCAGGATTCTTGAAGTGGGTTTACATAAGTTAATAAGTGTGCACACAGTGGGTGCTGGCCAGTTCTTTCCTGTAAATGGGAAACTGCCCAGGGAACAGCATCCCAGGGAACATATATGTATGCTGCATCAACAAACTGTGCAAAAGTAAATGGGTCCTCTGGTGGAAAAGTAGCCCAGCAGTGCCAGACAGATGAGCCAGTTCACATTTACTTTCACTGGGAAGTGGGTCTGTCAGTCTGAAGGTTTTCCCTATCAATGGCAGATGTACCAACCTCAGTCCTTTATTCAAGAGGACCACACAGGAGTGCTGCTTTAGTCTATTCTTAAACATCTTAGATGGCTGGTCCTGCCACTGCAAGTTCCATTGAATCCACTATGTTCAAGCATTCACTTAAACTGAGATGAGTTCTTGGGCCTGAGTCTCTCAAAAGTAGCCAATTTCTGCAGCAGACTTGTCCCAATCTGCAGAATACTGTATCCTAGGGAGTATGCATGTTTCTCTTCTATTTTTACTTAAGGGGCAGAACTGACCAGCATCCATTGTGGCTAGTGCACTTGTCAGTGAAATGTGACTCACAAAACCTTATGACAAAAGACACGGAACGTCTCTTTAAAGCCGTATCCTGGTCCATACATACCTTGGAGAAGTGTGCCAATCAGCCCAAAAGTTCAAGTTTTTTTTTAGCTCCAATTGATCACAGTGGTTTTGTTAGTGGAAAGTGTGTTGCAAGCCCCAGGAGTATCACCAAGTGCTTGATGTATAACCCTTGCAAAAAACATCCACTTCCTTTTTATTTTACACAAGGAGGAAGCAAGAGACATTTTCTTCCATCTGTGCAAATGAAAGACCTTTGCTTACAAGAGGCTGATGACAGTGTGTGAATCACCTTTTACTGCAAATTTTTACTAAGTCTGGCATTTTCTTCAAAATTTAGAGCTTAAATTCAACCTCCAAGGAATGCGAATCCACAACCACGGAAGGTTATGAGGCAAACCTGGAGCAAAAGAGCATTGCTAAAAAAACAGGTGAGGTGCCTGGTGTTACTTGCTTTGCAGGACTTGTGTTTAAATCAGCTATTTGGGCTGTGTTGCCAAAGGCTACCAGAAAACATTATTATTTCAGGTTTTCAGGGAATTCAAGCAAATAACATTAATTTAACTGCTACTTTCCTCATGTGTAGTGGGGGGTGGATGAACTGGAAGACCATATATAAACACAGATAATTTTATGCTACAGTTACAATTACTACTGAATATTAATTGATTACATGGATAATAATTTTCATTAACCTTGGTATTCGAAATATTTGTCCAAGATCTCAAGATATCCTGTACTTGTAGCAAACTGTCTAAAAAGGAGCTTTCTGGTTTCTCTCAGAGTCACTGCCCTCTCCTCAAGCTGCAGTAAATCCCCACAACAAGATATCTGCTTGGGACAGCGGAATCGTGACTAATCCTAACTTCAAGGATTGTAACATTGAAAATTTTAACATCACTATTACATCTGGCAAAGGTAGATATGAAACATTTAGTATTTGAAACCAGAGTTTGGCATCTGCTAATCTCTTTGTTCTTTTGCAGAGTCTATTGTTCCATCAAAAAAGGAATCAGTCAATGCAGCTGCTCCACTCCACAAAAGTGAGTACTTTTTCACGTGCATTACAAAATTCCAAAATATATGAAATACCTTGATTGTTTTTAACTTAGAGGGGAAAAGGCATAATATTTGAATGTCTTTTTTTTCTAGATAAAAAGATCGAAGAATGTAAACAGAAGCTAAAAGAAACCCTGAAGAGGAAGTTTAAGGATTTGAGAACTGGAAATGACAAGATGCCCCTCGATGAGATCTACACAGAAGTGTGCATCATTGAAGGAGGAAATTGTGAGGTTAACACGGAGCATGAGGTGATTAAGGAAGAATCAGCAATCAAGCAGAACCAGGAAAAATCGATCCACTGCAACCACCTCTTCAATCCTCCACCGGGACAAGACCGTCATATTAGAACTGTTATCACAAGGGGAGTTGCTGGCATCGGGAAAACAGTATGTGCCAACAAATTCATTCTAGACTGGGCTGAGGAGAGAGAAAACACCAACCTGGACTTTGTGTTTCCTCTGCCCTTCCGTGATCTAAAACTTGTGGGCGATAAACCCATCAGTCTTGTTGGACTTATCAATAAACTTTTTCCTGAAACCAAAGACACAGAAATCTTTAAAGACACAGGAATCCTTAATAACGATCAATACAAAATGCTTTTCATCTTGGATGGCCTGGACGAGAGCCTACTATCTTTGGATTTCAAGGAATGTGAAATAGTGACTGATGTGACACAGCCAACTGAGACTGCTGTGCTTATAACCAACATCATCAGGGGAAGACTTCTCCCCTCAGCTTTCATCTGGATAATATCTCGGCCAGATGCTTCCAGCAAAATACCCTCTGAGCACATTGACCTGAGGGTTGAGGTTCGAGGGTTCAACAACACCCAGAAAGATGAGTACTTCAGAAGTATAATTAGTCGCCGGAAGGTAGCAGACAAGGTAATTTCACATGTGAAATCCTGCCAGAGTCTTTATATCATGTGCCACATACCATTCTTTTGCTGGAAGATGGCAAGTTTGTTGAAGAAGAAGCCGGCAACACCAGGTGGTACTGACATGCCAGCAACTCTGACCCCGATGTACATACACTTCTTGACCGAGTGTGTGGACAGCATGAGCAAGAAGCTGCGCGACGAGGCAAACCCTGACAGTGTGAGAAAGGATCTTATCTATCTGGGTAAGCTTGCCTTTGAAGAACTTGCGAAAGGCAAATTTATTTTCAATGAGAGCAGCCTCATCCAAAATGGAATCAAAGTCACAGGGCCAAACTTGTTTTCAGGACTCTACACCCAGATCTTCAGTGAGGATTTGATCCTGTGTCAGGAGAACACGTTCTGCTTTGTGCATCGGAGTGTCCAGGAGTTCTTTGCAGCTTTGTATGTCTATCTCAAGTTCAACAATGACAACGTGATCGTCCTGAACAAGAACCCATTCAGCCGATCTCTATCAAGAGACTCATCAGAGCTCACCCTCTATAAAGCAGCAGTAAAAAAGGCTCTGCAGTGTGAGAGAGGACATTTTGACATATTTCTGCGCTTCCTCTTGGGCCTGTCTCTTGAATCAAATCAAACTCTGCTGAAGCATCTGCTGATTCACAACAGAACCAACCAAAACACAAGAGCTGAGATCATCAAATACATTAAAAAGAAGATTCAAGCTGGTCCACCTCCAGACAGATGCGACAACCTTCACCTCTGTCTGAATGAGCTGAATGATGACTCTGAGATGATTCAGAGACAGGCACGTGCAGCGCGGGGGGCAACAAGAGCACGAGCTGCTTTTCGCAAAAGGACCTTTATTAGAATGTTTTTACTCTGTTGTATGACCCAAATACCATAAATAAAACAAAATTATAATCATTCAGAGCTACCCTCGGTCGATCATGTGATCCACATAGATGTGCCCTCATTGCCCAAATGTGATTAGATCTGCCCTGTAGCTAAGCGTGTCAAAGCTGGCTACTAGAGACAGTTGCTGCTTGAAACCAAAGACCAGAGGAATTAGTCAAACCACAGATATTACAGTCAAACAGCCGATGTTGTGATGAGTAGGTTTTGCCGCGATATTTGTTTCACGGTGTATTCTTGCAAGATGACTGATGAAGTGCAGTAAGCATTCTGTGTATACCTCTGACTCTGCACACACCGCTCATAAGTTATAGCCACTAGTAAACGACACACAGCGTGTTGAGGGGAAAAAGTATGTCAGGCTTCTTTTTGTTTCCATTTGTTTCTTTAGTTATAGGCAAAGTGCATTAGAAAGACGTATAATTTTAATGTCAAGTGAGTTGCAGTGTTTTTCCTATGTTTCCAGAGGCAATAAGGTATAGACTGTTATTTTACAAAAACTATGCAATGTACATGAATATTCACATAATTTAAGACTATATATACAACAATAATAACAAGAAGAATTTGAATTTAGATTTTCTCAACCTCTCATTTAAACATCGTAGTGTAACATTTGTATATATTTACACACAAATTAAACATAATATGCCTGAATATAAAACATATAACTTTCATAACCAAGTGGTTAGTGAAACTGCATAGAAGCACAAATAGATTTAAAAGACATGATTTCTATTGAATTCAGTTAGATCTTACACTATTATTAGCACTATAAATAAAAAGGGCACATCATGAATCTGCACCATGAAGCAAATTTGTGGCTGTACAGTATGTCATGAAAAGGTGTAAATGTATGTGTGGGTGTGTTTTATGTGCATTAGATTGTAGTTTATAAATCTCATTCTGTAGTGATGTCTTGTAAGGACAGGAGGGTGAAACAAAAACAAAAGGAGCTATGTGATGCTGTGGAAAGCAGTGGATCACTTGCCAGCTGGATACGAATGGTGTTTCAAATTTGTACTCAGCAGCAGAGGTTCCCTTTTTTTATTTGAGTGACAGATTTGTAATTGTTTTTGCTACTTTTTTAAACATATATATATATTTTTTTACTTTTTTTAATCAGAGTAATCTTTCAATAAGAATGTCATGAAAAGTTGTGTTTGTGTAAAAAAGGTGTCATACAAAATAAATCTATCTGCACAGAATGCATGTTTGATGTTTGTATGTTTAAAATAGGTTATATACTGTAGCTTCCTCGACCAACCCTACATTCCACAATTATTACAAATGGACTGTCTTTATCTAGCACTTTGTTTTCTCTTCTGACCACTCAAGGTACTGTTTCAGTGTCACATTCACCTATTCATACCACCTTCTGGTGACAAGGAGGTGAAATGCATTTCTTAGTGTTAACCATTTTTACACCACTACCACATTGGAAATCACTGCATGGATTCACAACAACTTCCAATGTATATACGATTAGGGCACAGTGTTGCTGCTGACCTTTTTTTTAATTATCAACAGAAAAACTTTGCTTGACTGCTCATAAAAATGTTCTTATTAGTTTAATACAGAGTGCAGATTAGGTTTTATTATGGCGAAGGATAATTACACTTTTTTTTTTATCATGTACGTTTAGCTTAATCTTGAGCATAAGTTACTGCAGTTATAAAGCCTGTTGATTTAAAGTTTGACTTAATCATAATTCATTTTTTGACTTCTTGTTTGAAATCAGGTTAATGTCACTTTCTAGCCTTATGATCATCAGAAATTCAGATCAAAGTGAGCAAGTGTTCAAAAGAGGTTAGTTTTAAGACTCCAATCATTATCATCTCAGCTAGATGTTGTTTATCATTGCTTTTTTAAATATGTATTTATGGTATTATATGAGAATATGCAGAAGAATAAAAGAGGTTTTCATGGCAAAGTTCTCGATACAGGATATACAAAAAAGGGCCTCAAGACAGGACCTAATAACGGGATAACAGTGCAGCCAAAAATGATTTACACCAGGGTCATGAGATCTGGCCATAAATCACTTCATATTTAAATATTTTACTCTTCCTGTTACACGAGTTATGATAAGACTGTAAAATGTAATGGACAATCATGCAGTACCCATCTCTTCCCACTAGAGTTCAGTCATGGGCAGCACTCCACAGACATAAAAACGCAAAAACGAAACTACTTTCATAACTGGAAAATGATAAGCAGCATAAACACACGAAAACAAGGAGCTGCTGCTAAATAGGCTATCTGTGACAAAGTGGATTTACAAGGGTGAGCAACAACATTTTTTTTGAAGTATTATCGATTATAAATGAGTATTTTCATGTGTAGATGTACTTTGTAGCATAAAACCTAACAGTCTTAAATGTAAATGCGTCACTTCACTTATCTGTACCACTCATCTGCTCTCTTTTACAAGGGTGAGCAACAACATTTTTTTTTGAAGTATTATCGATTATAAATGAGTATTTTCATGTGTAGATGTACTTTGTAGCATAAAACCTAACAGTCTTAAATGTAAATGCGTCACTTCACTTATCTGTACCACTCATCTGCTCTCTTTAGCAGTAAAAACTTTGTTTGTTTTTTGTAATTCGAATGTGTATGTTTTCCAACTTTTTACGTGGTAGTAAAGTTACCATAACCAAAATGTCAATGTTTAGACAACCACAGAATAGTTTAGTTTTTGTGATAGAAGGAAGTTTTTTGAGTCCTAACGCAGAGTAATAATGTTTGAAAGGGATATTCATACAAAGAAACATCTCTCTAATGTATGTGACGAAATTATTCGGTTCACTATGGCGATTATTTTCACAGTTCGTCTAGTTTTCCGCGCTTTGTCGCAGGAAATAACCACTTTATCAAACCTCACGTAGTTATGCGGAAGAGCAGCTTAGAAACTTTACCAAACCTGTGTGACTCCGAGCTCAAAGAAAAGTTCCAACTCTTATTTGTCACAGTTAGGCTGTCTGTGACAAACTGGATTTACGAGGGTGAGCAACATTTTTTTTTAAGTATTATCGATGATAAATGAGTATTTTCATGTGTAGATGTACTTTTTTAAAACAAAATCCCGATAGTCTTAAATGTAAATACGTCACTTCACTCATCAGCAGCACTCATCTGCTCTCCTTCACAGTGAAACCTTACATGGGTTTTTTTTTCGTATGTCTGTTCTCCAACTTCTTAAGTGGTAGACAAGTTACCATATTAAAACTGTCAACATTTTGACAACCACAGAATAGTTCAGTTTTTCTGTCAGGGGGATTTTTTTTTAGTCTAAAGGCAGAGTCTTCTTCAATACAGCTGATTATAGCAGGAAATTACTGCTCTATTAGGATTTGAATAGACAATAAAACAAGTAAAAAAGTTCCAACTCTTATTTGCACATACAGAAGTCAAAGGGATTCTCTGTTTTATCTGTGAAAAAAATATTGAGTGTTTAATCTCTGTGTTAATATGTTGTTTGTAATGTTTAGAACAATAACTTTCAGTACAGCAACACAAATAGGCGGACACTAATAGCACCCAACCTCCTGTTTTCCTCATCAGAAGATGTTTCCTTCACTCCATATAAACCAAAAAGACCTAATGATAGGATAAAAGTGCAGCCAAAAATGAACGAAACCGGGGACTGTATGGGTCAGAACTGGTCACTGAATTTGGCCATAAATCACTTCATATTTAAATATTTTACTCTTCCTGTTACACGAGTTATGATAAGACTCTAAAATATAATGGACAATAATGCAGTACCCATCTCTTTCCACCAGAGTTCAGTCATGGGCAGCACTCCACAGACATATAAAGGCAAAAACGAAACTACTTTTGCACTTGGCAAATGATAAGCAGCATAAACGCATGAAAAAAAGGACGGAGTAGCTGTTGCTAGATAGGCTATTTGTGACAAAGTGGATTTACAAGGGTGAGCAACAACATTTTTTTTTTTAAGTATTATTGATTATAAATGAGTATTTTCATGTGTAGATGTACTTTATAACATTAACCTGACAGTCTTTAATGTAAATGTGCCACTGCACTTATCAGCACCACTCATCTGCTCTCTTTAGCAGTAAAAACTTTAATAGTTTGTTTTTTGTAATTCGAATTTGTATGTTTTCCAACTTTTTACATGGTAGTAAAGTTACCTTAACCAAAATGTCAACGTTGAGACAACCACAGAATAGTTTAGTTTTTGTGTTAGAGGGATTTTTTTTAGTCTAAAGGCAGAGTAATTAGGTTTGAAAGGGAATTATGTTTGTTGCAGGAAATAACCACTTTATCAAACCTCACGTATGCGGAAGAGCAGCTTAGAAACTTTACCAAACCTGTGTGACTCCGAGCTCAAAGTAAAGTTCCAACTCTTATTTGTCACAGTTAGGCTGTCTGTGACAAACTGGGTTTACGAGGGTGAGCAACAACATTTTTTAAAAGTATTATCGATTATAAATGAGTATTTTCATGTGTAGATGTACTTTTTTTTTTTTAAACAAAAACCCGATAGTCTTAAATGTAAATGCGTCACTTCATTTATCAGCAGCACTCATCTGCTCTCCTTCGCAGTGAAAACTTATATGTTTTTTTTTTTCGTATGTCTGTTTTCCAACTTCTTAAGTGGGAGACAAGTTACCATAACCAAATGTCAACATTTAGACAACCACAGAATAGTTCAGTTTTTGTGTCAGGGGGATTTTTTTTAGTCTAAATGCAGAGTACTTATGTTTGAAAGGGATACTCATACTTACAAACATCTATCTAATGTATGTGCAGAAATAATTTGGTTCACTATGGCGATTATTTCTGCAGTTTGTCTAGTTTTCCGTGCTATGTCGCAGGAAAAAACACCTCAAAAACCTCACGTATGCGGAAATACCTTTACCTGTAGCCCTAACATTTGGCCAACCTGCATGGCCCCAAGGTCAAAGTAGCTACTTCCTCTTGTCCTGAAGACTGTAAAGTTATGTAACAACTTTACTTCCTCTAACTTTTTCAGGTCTTCTGGCTGTCGAATCAGGCTGCAGTATCAACGAAAGTCTTCCTCTGTATTGGACTTTAAACACCAGCACGGTAAGACAGAAGCTACACCATAGCATGGTCTTAAAAAAGATATTAGCCTTTAGTGGATTGTCTAAAAAATTTAATCCCTACTACACATAAAGTATAAAAATATTGCGACAATAACTCAATTTGAGTAAATTTTTACCTTCATCCTAGTTTCACACTCAGCACTGTCCTTTATAAGAGTGGTAGAGTCCAGCTCTTTTCTGAGTTATAGCTTCACTGATGGAAGAAGCTTAGTCAATATTAAAGCTTGAGTTTATAATATTACCTGTATGATTATTAAAGTGGTTTGACTTGACCCCTCAGTAGTAATTTAGCTAGTGTCCTTGTCACTTTCCTGCCTGCAGGCAGCTACTCAGCCGCTGATGAGCCCGTCACAGTAACCACAGTGGCTGGAGTCACATCCTCTTCCTCCTACCTAATTTCTTTCCCAACAAAGTTTGTAAAATTTCGATTTGAAAAGCAAACCCTTTACAACCATGTTAGGCTTTGTGGAGGTCCATTGAGTTGTTTTTATAGCTTTGTTTCATAAGTTCCTGGTAGTTCAAATGTTTATATTTCACTTTCACAGAAAAGTCTCAAGTTTCCACGAGGTGAATGTTGACAACCTGAGGGAAATTCAGTGGTACCTGGGCAAGTATGACGAAGATGGATCCTGACCAAACAAAATGACCTTTTGTTAAAACAAGTTGAAGGTAAACAACAATGTTTTTAAGGACAATATAATAAATGGGCAGATGCTGTTAGCAGCCATGTGCATAAGAGAAAAGACAGCCAGCGAGTTCATTTTTATCTGATATCATGTTGCGACAAACTCAGGTGTTTTATCCTATTTGTACCTGACTGCATGAAGTTCACCTTACACAGAACTTTCTTCTTTCTCCCTGGATTTTTATGTTCAATGTGAAACAAAAAGTCAAGGCTGAGGATTAGCTTGCCTTTAGAGTAGATCATTAGCCTGTTATGCCAATCAATGATCAGCAGAAACCGATCAATGACACTCTGTGGACAAAAACAAACAACCACAGCTGATTTCTAACACCCTAAACACTATAGCTACCTCTGGATGATGCTCAACTTGGTGAAATAGCCACACCTGTTTAGAGTATCACAATGTCCATTTAGGAACCGGTGATTGAATTCAGGGGTGTTTTTCTAATCACAGTTTTCTTTGATATTTTAGTCAACAGACCTAAACATGGAACAGCAATCTCACGAGCCATCACCCTCCAATGTGAGAAAAAAACAGAGGGATGCTGTTGCTGATCTCACTGAAACACGTCATGACTTCGATCTGGAGAGTCAAGGTGAAAACAATACAGAGAGAGGAAGAGGAGAGGACTTGGAGTCAAATCAGGTGAGGTCATGTGGTGATTGAAAGGACTGGGCTGTGACAGTGTTGTGGATTTGATTATTTCACCATGTCATTAAAACGTTCCTTAAAGGGATACTTCAGGATTCTTGAAGTGGGTTTGCATAAGTTAATAAGTGTACACACACACACAATGGATGCTGGCTCTGTAAATGGGAAACTGCCCAGGGAACAGCATGCAGATGAGCACATATGTATGCTGCATCCACAAACTGTGCAAAAGTAAATGGGCCCTCTGGTGGCAAAGTAGCCCAGCAGTGCCAGACAGATGAGCCAGTTCACATTTACTTTCACTGGGAAGTAGGTCTGTCAGTCTGAAGGTTTTCCCATCAGTGGCAGATGTACCAACCTCAGTCCTTTATTCTTTAGTCTATTCATAAACATCTTAAATGGCTGGTCCTGCCACTGCAAGTTCCATCTACTCTGCTATAGCTGCTGTTTCAGTGCCAATTAGCCAATTTCTACAACAGACTTGACCCAGTCTGCAAAAAAAGGAGAGTATGAATGTTTTCCTGTAGCTTATTACTAAATTGATCACAGTGGTATTGTTATAGGAAAGTGTGTCGTAAGACTATGTTGGACTGTTGATCAGTTTATCACCTTGGTCTGAGTCCTGGAGTATTGTCAAGTGCTTGATGTGTAACCCTTGCAAAAAATCACCCACATCCTGTTTACATCACCCAAAGAGGAAGCTAGAGACATTTTCTTCCATCTGTGCAAATGAAAGATCTCTACTAACAAAAAGCTGCTGACAGTGTGTGAATCACCTCTTTCTACAGGTGTTTACTGAAGCTGGCATTTCCTACACATTTTAGAGCTTTAATTCAACCTCCATTTGAAAGATTTATGTCTGTTTTGTTTAAAGGTGCTTTGCATGGTCAAAAAACAGAAACATGACCAGCCCAAGCCCTATGAGGAGTGTGAATCCATAACCATGGAAGTTGACGAGGCAGACCTGGAACAAAAGAATGCTGCTGAAAAAACAGGTGAGGTGTCTGGAAGCAAATTGGATCATAAAGGGTTTCTATGGCAACAAATAAACCAAGTACAACAGGCCAGAGAGAGGGAAAGTGCAAAAAAGGAATTGAGCTTTTATTTACTCATAGAAAGTCACTGACGAAGAGCAGGAGTGTGGTTACATGAAGATTTGAGGGCAAATTGCAGAAAAACTACCAGCGAGAGTGGGATCCGCCAGGTGGAGCGGGAAGAGAAACAGTTACTCCGGTGTATAATTGCGTTAGATGCTATATAGTTATGAATACTTTTATTCCAGCAGGTGCAAATCAAGGGCAGGGCAGGGGTGTCTTTGGCCCCTGCAATATTTTTGGCCACACCCAAAAATCCCAAACTATGATACGTTACTTGCTTTGCAGGATTTGTATTGATCTCAAGATCTCAAGATATCCTGTACTTTTGTAGTAAACTGTCTAAAAAGGAGCTTTCTTGTTTCTCTCAGAGTCACTGCCCTCTCCTCAAGCTCCAGTTTATCGCACCGCCAAGATATCTGCTCGGGATAGAGGAATCGTGAATAATCCCAACATCATTGGTTCTAACATTGGCACATTGAATTTCACTCTCATTACATCTGGCAGAGGTAGATATGAAACACGTAGTATTTGAAACCAGTTTGGCATCTGCTAATCTCTTTGTTCATTTGCAGAATCTATTGTTCCATCCAAAGAGGAATCAGTCGATGCAGCTGCTCCATTTGTCAAAAGTGAGTACTTTTTCATGTGCATTACAAAATTCCAAAATGTATGAAATACCTTGATTGTTTTTAATTTAGAGGGGAAAAGGCATAATATTTGAATGTCTTTTTTCCCAGATGAAAAGATTGAAGAATGTAAACAGAGGCTAAAAGAAACCCAGAAGAGGAAGTTTGAGACTTTAACAACTGGAAAAAGCAAGATGCCCCTCTGTAAGATCTACACAGAACCGTGCATCATTGAAGGAGGAAATTGTGAGGTTAACACGGAGCATGAGGTGATTAAGAAAGCATCAGCGATCAAGCAGAACCAGAAAAAATCGATCCACTGCAAACACCTCTTCAATCCTCCACCGGGACAAGACCGTCATATTAGAACTGTTATCACAAGGGGAGTTCCTGGCATCGGGAAAACAGTATGTGCCAACAAATTCATTCTAGACTGGGCTGAGGAGAGAGAAAACAAAAACCTGGACTTTGTGTTCCCTCTGCCCTTCCGTGATCTTAATCGTGTGGGCGATAAACCCATCAGTCTTGTTGGACTTATCAATAAACTTTTTCCTGAAACCAAAGACACAGAAATCTTTAAAGACACAGGAATCCTTACTAACGATCAATACAAAATGCTTTTCATCTTGGATGGCCTGGACGAGAGCCTACTATCTTTGGATTTCAAGGAATGTGAAATAGTGACTGATGTGACACAGCCAACTGAGACAGCTGTGCTTATGACCAACATCATCAGGGGAAGACTTCTCCCCTCAGCTTTCATCTGGATAATATCTCAGCCAGATGCTTCCAGCAAAATACCTTTTGAGCACATTGACCTGGTGATTGAGGTGCAAGGGTTTAAAACCCCCCAGAAAGATGAGTACTTCAGAAGTATAATTGATTGCCAGAATAGAGCAGACGAGGTAATCACCCACGTGAAATCCTGTGAGAGTCTTCACATCATGTGCCACATACCAATCTTTTGCTGGATGGTGGCAAGTTTGTTCGAGAAGAAGCCAGCAACAGCAGGTGGTACTAACATGCCAGCAACTCTGACCCCAATCTACATACACTTCTTGACTGTGTGTGTGGACAACATGAGCAAGAAGCTGCCCGGAAACAGCGAGGCAAAGCCTGACAGTGTGAGGAATGATCTTATCTCTCTGGGTAAGCTTGCCTTTGAAGAACTTGAGAAAGGCAAATCTATTTTTAATGAGAGCAGCCTTACCCAAAATGGTATCAAAGTCACAGAGCCAACCTTGTGTTCTGGACTCTACGCCCAGATCTTTAGTGAGGACTTGATCCTGTGTCAGGAAAACACGTTCTGCTTTGTGCATCTGAGTGTCCAAGAGTTCTTTGCAGCTTTGTATGTCTATCTCAAGTTCAACAATGACAACGAGAATGTCCTTATGAAGAAATCATCTATATCAAGACGATTTCTATCAAGAGATTCATCAGAGCTCGTCCTCTACAAAGCAGCAGTAAAAAAGGCTCTGCAGTGTGAGAGTGGACATTTTGACATATTTCTGCGCTTCCTCTTGGGCCTGTCTCTTGAATCAAATCAAACTCTGGTGAAGCATCTGCTGATTCATAACAGAACCAACCAGAAGACAAGAGCTGAGATCATCAAATACATCAAAGAGAAGATCCAAGCCAGTCCACCTCCAGGCAGGTGCGACAACCTTCACCTCTGTCTGAATGAGCTGAATGATGACTCTGAGATGATTCAGAGCTACTTTCGAGAAAGGATGCACAGCAAACAATGACAGCAGCTGATTGGTGTGACCTAAAACAGCTGCTGGCAAAAATTAGCACAGAAAAAAAAAGAAATGCTTTAAAAACATTTTTGGAAGCTTTGAGTTCATTCAGAAAATGTTGAGTGTCTTCACTGTAGTTAATTTTCCTGAAAGAAGACATCCAGTCATAGTGCATTTCAGTAAAACCAGCTCCAAGTGCTTCTTTGAGCTTACAGAAAGTCACATATTATTTGGGAGACTACTAAGCTCAATAGTTCTGTCTTTATAAAGTCAGACAATTATACTTATTGTCTTTACTCTGCTCCAGATTGTAAATATGAACTTGCAGTTTCATTTGATCAGTGTCGCAATAAACTTTCCCTGTTGGTCACGTGAAATTCACTAGATGTCTGAACTCAGCAGCGGAGGTTCCCCTTTTTTGGTATTCAGTAACAGACTTTGAATTGTTTTTGCTACTTTTTCAAATATAGTTTTTATACTTTTTTTAAGAGTTGTCTTTAAAAAAGAATGTTGTGAAAAGTTGTGTTTGAGTAAAAAAAATAAAATCTATCTGCACAGAATGCATGTTTGATGTTTCTATGTATAAAATATGTTATATACTGTAGCCTCTCCAACCCTACATTTCACAATCATTACAAATTGACTCTTTATCTAGCGCTTTGTTTATTCTTCTGGCTACTCAATGCACTGTTTCAGAGTCACATTCACCCACTCATACCACATTCACACACTGATGGCCAAGGAGGTGAAATGTATTTATGAGTGTTAACCATTTTTACACCGCTGTACACAGTCAGTAGGCACAGTTTGAAGTTAGGTGTCTTGCCCACGGACACTTGGGCATGTCGGCACCGGGACCTGGATCACTGACCTTTCAGTTAGGGTACAGTCTGTCTTGGGTAGGAAATACAATTTTACAAATAACTTGTGGTAAAGAAAGCACACACCACAAAATGAAAGAAAATTTTGAGAAACAGGATAGCTTGTCAAAATCTAATTTGGTTTGATGTATGTAGACTTCAGTTTAAGCATACCAATTCATGTGTATGGGGGGAATTTGGGTTGAAGTGTTTTCTTGGTCAATTCTGCAACCCTCCAAAATACAGGAGTGGGATGATACAGATAATTATATTAATGTTATGAAAATGATTACCTATGGTCCACATCTTTGGAAAGACAAGTCTTTTAAACTTTGGACCAAGAGGGTTGAACATGTGAAACCTTATGATACAATTATTTTAGGAGTTATCAATCAGGTGCCCTGTGACACTATCCTGTCTTAGCAAATCTCATATTTTATGTACTGTTTTCCCCATTTTCTGTCTTGAATTTTACCCTGATATACTTTGGGTTTCTCTCATATACAAATCATCTCTCCCAGATTACATGTAGTTTTAATAACCCTGGAAATTTAATAATTGCAGAGGAATACTTTTTTTTTCTGTCATGGTACTCTATAATACAAACTGCTGTCCATTTACCAAAAAAAAAAAAACAGTAGTCCAAATTGGTTGCAGTAAAAGCATGCAGTAGTATCTTAACATGATGAAAATGAAAATGATTTGATCTCATATCCACTGGCAAGGACATCAATATCAAGAGAAAGGGATGAGAAGATCAATGACAGACCTTTACAGTTCATTATGGCAAACATCTTTAAGTGTAGTTTGAAACAGAAGTTCATTTTGCAGTAAATGAAACTGTTTTGAAGGCTGTGGTTGTCTAAGAAGGCTTAAACTAACCTTGGCTGTGCAAGAAACACCAGTTTCCTGTTTTCTTCATCACCCTGAGAGGAAGTAAGAGACATTTTCGTTTATCTGCGCACATGAAAAATACCCTATGCAAGCCAGACGCTGCTGTCACTCTAAATCAGCTCAGAGTCAAAGTTTTAATCAGAGTAGGCATTTTCTTCACTTTTTAATTTTGAAAGCTCTCAGTCAGCCTCGATGTAGCACGATGTGGTTCCATGTTCGAAAGCATGTTTATTTTTTTCAATCGTATGAACGACCAGAAAACGACTGAAACTTCACCAGCTCAAGACCCCGATGAAAACTATCTGAGGAGTACCAATCCACAAACATGGGAGTCAATGAGGAAAACCCAGAGCAAAAGAGTGAGGTTTCTAGAGGTAAGGAAATTAATTTGGTTATGAAGGGTTATTATGGCAGGAAACAAGACTAAGCACAAAACGAGTGATGGAGAGAGAAAAAGGGTTTAAAAAAAAGGATAGATTCAAGACTGTGATCATTAACCTTAGCAAAAAAAAAAAGTAGGAAATTAGCTATAAAGCATTAACAGTGTCTTTTATAATTAATTGCTTTCAATTTTTAAACTTTAAAAGCCATTTTATGGTATGATTACATGATAATGTGAGGGAGGATAAAAATGCACAAGGGCTTGTACAGTGACAATCCTCTAGCCTGGCTAACAATCCTCAGACAGAATATAAATGAAACTCAACCCTGATGTCAAAACAATTTGACGCTGTGTTGTGTTGTTAAAACAGATTTTGATGGTTCAGGAATCATTTAAAGCATATTTTTGGAAAAAAAAACAAAAACATTACTAGTGTAAATCACTACATCAGCTCAAAATTACTTCCAAAGACTACTGTAAACACAGTTCGTAGCTTTATCCATGAATGTAGGTCAAACCTGTGCCATGCAAACAGGAAACCATGTAAAACGTGATCTAGAAATGTAGGTGGTAAATGTAGGTCTGATCTTTTTATTTCCTGTACTTTCATCTAATATGCAGTTTTGTGGTTCCTCTTAGAGACACTTCCTTCTATTGATGCTGACGTTCATAACTTCAGTCCCAGCTACGTTGCTGAGACTGGAGGAACTGTGTTTGCTCCCCACATCACTGGTTCCAACATTGGCATCCTGAACATCACTGTCAATTCATCCGGCAAGGGTAGATATGAAACCTTTGAATCTATTGAAACCAGGGTCTGGCATCTGCTAACATTTTTGTTCATTTGCAGAGTCTATTGCTTCATCTGAAGAGGAATCAGTCGAAGTAGCTGCTCCACTTCCCAAGAGTGAGTACTTCCTCAGGCCTGTTCTATATTACAAAATTTATGAAATACCTTGATTTTTTAATTTAGAGGAAAAATGGCATAATATTTGAATGTCTTTTTTTCACCAGATGAAAAGATCAAAGAATGTCAACAGACACTGAAAGAAACTCTGAAAAGGAAGTTTAGTTACTTGCTAGAGGGAACAACAACAGAAGCAAACAAGATACCTCTCAATAAAATCTACACAGATCTTTACATAACTGAGGGGGGAAGTGGGGAAGTCAACACAGAGCATGAAGTGAGACAGATTGAGACAGCATCCAGGGTTCATGTGACACAGGAAAAGTCGATCCACTGCAATGAACTCTTTGTCCCTCCGCGGGGGGAAGACCTCCAAATAAGAACTGTCATCACAAGGGGAGTCGCTGGCATTGGGAAAACGGTATCTGCCAACAAATTTACTCTTGATTGGGCTGAGGAGAGAGAAAACACCAACCTGGACTTTGTGTTTCCTCTGTCCTTTAGAGAGTTAAATCTCATGAGGAAAAAAAACTTTAGTTTTGTGAGACTTCTCAATGTCCTTTTCCCTGAAACCAAAGACACTGGAATCTTTACCAATGGTCAACACAAAATGCTTTTTATCTTGGACGGTCTAGATGAGAGCAGACTATCTTTGGATTTCAAGGAAAATGAAATAGTGACTGATGTGACACAGCCAACCACAATTGCTGTGCTTTTGACCAACATCATCAGGAAAAGGCTTCTCCCCTCAGCTCTTATCTGGATAACTTCAAGGCCGGTTGCTTCCAGCCAGATCCCTCTGGAATTCATTGATTTGGTGACTGAGGTGCGAGGGTTCAGTAACCCCCAGAAAGATGAGTACTTCAGAAAGAAGATAAGCAACCAGAGCTTAGCAGACAGGGTAATCACACATGTGAAATCTTGTCAGAGTCTTCACATTATGTGTCACATACCGATCTTCTGCTGGATGGCAGCAAGTGTACTTGAGAAGAAGTTAGCAATGACAGAAGATAAAGACATACCAAAGACTCTGACCCAGATGTACATACACTTCTTGTCCTTGTATGTAGACAACATGAAGAAGAGACTGCCAGGGAGAAGAGAATCAAATGCAGATTGCGTGAGAACTAACCTTATCTCTCTGGGTAAGCTTGCCTTCAAGGAACTGGAGAAAGGCCACTTGATCTTCTACGAGAGCGACCTGATCCAAAATGGAATCAAAGTTACACAGGCATCCATGTTTTCAGGAATCTACACACAAATCTTTCATGAGGAACCAACAGTCTGTCAGGAGAAGATGTTCTGCTTTGTGCATCTAAGTGTTCAGGAATTCTTTGCAGCTTTATACGTCTACCTCACATTCAACAATGAAAACGTAAATGTTCTGATCAAGAAATCATCTATATCAAGACGATTTCTATCAAGAGACTCATCAGAGCTCATCCTCTATAAAGCAGCAGTAGAAAAGGCTCTGCAGTGTGAGAGTGGACATTTTGACATGTTTCTGCGCTTCCTCTTGGGCCTGTCTCTTGAATCAAATCAGACTCTGTTGAAGCATCTGTTGACCCACAACAGAACCAACCAAAAGACAAGAAGCGAGACCATCAAACACATTAAAGAAAAGATCAGAGTCAGTCCATCTCCAGACAGATGCCTCAACCTCTTCCACTGTCTGAATGAGCTCAATGACCACTCTCTTGTAGAAGAGATTCAGAGCTTCCTGAGCTCTGGCAGTCTGAACACTGCTAAGCTTACATCTGCCCAGTGGGCCACTCTGGTGTTTGTGTTATTGACATCAGAAGAAGAGCTAAGTGATTTTGAATTGAGCAACTACACAAGGACAGAGGAAGGTCTCCTTAGGCTGCTGCCTGTTGTCAAAACTGCACAAATTGCGAAGTAAGTACCTTCAAAAGCACTTTTAAACTTAGACAAGTACAGTAGTCCAGTTTAATCACTCTTGTCAAGCTATTAATTTAGCCATGTATGTAATTGTACTGAGGAATCTAGATAGATATATCTGAATCATGTTACATGACCATAAAGTAGCCACATATTAGGACAGAAAGACTCTACTTAGCTCATACTCCATAAAGGTCATGGTGATAGGCAGTAAGTCTTATACCAAAAGGCAACATCATTTATTTATCCGTCTATTTTGTGTCTCTTCTCATTTTTATCATCTGCAGACTGGATGCATGTAACCTCACTGCAGCCTGCTGTAGGCCTCTGGGAGTCACTGTCAGCTCATCCAAACTAAGAGAGCTTGACCTGGGTAACAACAAGCTGAAAGATGTGGGAATTGCACTGCTTTCTTTGGGACTCAAAACCAGCAAACTGGAGATGCTCAGGTCAAAACCAAAAGACATTTTCCATGCTTGTATACTTAATAAAATTTAAATGTTTCATTAGGGGGTTATTGAAAAGTTTAAAAAATCTAAGTCCTTTTCTTTTTGTTTAGATTGAGGAGCTGTGACCTAACAGAGCAGAGCTCTAAAGCCTTGGCTTCAGTTATGAGTTCAGCCTCCAGCCAACTGAAGGTTTTGGACCTCTCTGACAATGATATTCTGGATCTAGGAGTACAAAACCTCTGTGTTGGACTGGGAAGTCCTCACTGTAAACTGGAAAAACTCAAGTGAGTGCTCTGAGTGAAATTCAATGCCGGATAAATTATTTAACATACAGTAAGATGCCAAAAATCCAAAGTATAAAGTGGATGTTGTGAGGTGGGGATCTTGACTGAATACCTTGTCTGTTTTGAAGTTTGTCCTTGTGCAGAGTAACAGAAGAAGGCTGCACTTTCCTGGCATCTGCTTTGAACTCATCCCAACTGGAAGAGCTCGATCTGAGCTACAACCATCCAGGAAACTCCGGCCTGGAGCTGCTGTCTGCTCTGGAAGATGACCCACAATGCAGCCTCAAGAAACTTAGGTACGCTGAAAAAAAAAAAAATAGAGTTATTGGTGGTGATCTCTTTTTAAATAATTCTGTACAAAATGTAAGTCCCAGTGTTAGTATCCCAAAATTTGCAAGTGATTACTTTTTATAGATTAATAAGCATCATTCACGAGCATTTTAGGTAGCTAAGACTAAAACATATAATAGTGTGACAGATTAGGTAGTAACTCCCATAATTTATCAGTGGTTAAAAAATGATGATCTAGCTTTAACCGATGTCTTGAGACCAGATACAGGCACAAGTCACTTTTTGCAAGTTAAGTCCTAAGTCTCTTGGGGTTCAGTCCCAATCAGTTCTCTCATAAAGTCGTTAAATAATGACAAAAATAATGGCCAAACAAAATTTCCAAAACTGTCAGTGAATAAGAAATGATCAGACTTGTTATTTATGGTCTTGTTTGCTTTTGGACATCATGAAAGGGCATTGATATGAATTTTAGTCCATTTCATAAATATCAAAAAACTCCCCACGAGAGCAACTATTATTCAATATCAATATTTGTTAGTAAAAAAGCAACACATTATACACATACACAGCATATGAGCTAAGCTTAAGTCCTAATGGATTTAAAAGCAAAACGTTTGTTCAAAGTCCCAATTGAAAGAACTTGTGCAGGAGCTTAGGCACCCCTACCTATAGCCTGTAACTGCCCCTGACAGGAAAAGTTGGTGGGAACCCAAATCACAACTGGTTTTTTGAATGTGTCCCTTGAACAAACAGATGATCAGTGTGTTGATGATCGCCTTTTGTGATACCAATCCAAAACTGAGAGCAACAGCTACCCAAAACTATAGACATCCGTACGAGAAGTTTTGTATTTACTTATAGACGTTGATCCCAATCTTGGGCCTGGCCGAGCTCCAAACCCTTCCTTCATTGCCATACCCGTCACTCTCTCTCTCTTTGACTGGTAAAGGGGACTGTACCCCCCACGTCCTGCTCTCTTCCCCTCTGTCACATAACTAGAGTCGTGGCTGTGTCGCCTGCTCCGCTGTTATCTTTAGTCGGAGAAGACGTGTATCTCTATACAAGCTAACGTACATGAACGTTAAAGCTAGGTCAGAAAGCGTTTGTGGCTGTGACGTGTTTCACCGTCTTACCTTACCGTCGATGGTCACCTCTATTTTCGCCTCTTCTTTATTGCTTACTTCATATCTTTTACATTTTTAGACCTCTTTAGTTTCTTTTTCCCTTTCCCTCGTTTTTGACGGATCTAATATTTGCCGATCCTGCCATTTTGACAGGTAACAGTTGGCTAACAGTCAGGGCCATGTTTGAACTTTTGAATTTGGGGGATGAAGGACCGTACCATTTTAACCTGGGGAGGTTGAGGGGAAGTAAGATGTTTAAATAGACCACTATTTTAAGAAAAATTGTAAAAACTGTATAAAGGAATCAATAAAAATGATTTTTTTTAAACAAAAAAACAATATTTTGAAAATATTGTTGCGTACTTTTCAGAGGGTCAGAGGGCCCATTTCGCCCCTCCCCCCCGACCCACAACCTAGAACAACCAACCCAGTTAACCCTACCTGTTGACAACAGTGACAGAGGGGGGGAATGTTTCTATGCTTAAAGCAAGTGCAAGGCTGCCAAGTTTTATAAAAAATGACAAGAGTGAGGCTTCAGCATTATGATGTATTCGGGCGGTGAAAAGAATTGGCCTTTTCTAACATCGATTTATACCTTAAGACTGATGTCCTTACCTCTATGCCAGCTGCTCTCCCTGCACTGTGGCCTTGAGATGCTAGTCTTAATTAACCAGAAATTAAGAAATTAGAAAGTGGGTTTTAAATGTTGGTGCTGTTGCGTGTGACAGATAGTTAGAGACATCAAGTCCCACCTTACGTCGCTTATGATTGGTTTATATTGCGTGGGGCCTTCCGTGGTTAGTTAGATTTAGGCTGTGTCCAACATGAATCACTCAATCCCTAACCCCAAACCCCCATATGGGGTTTCACTTTATAGCTGACAATGTAGTGAACTCAATCACCAGAGGCTTCGGACACTACATGGCAAGATGCAATGCATGACGGGATGCCCACCACCGGTGAGTGACCATCAGATGGTCATTACATTTTGCAATGCTTTATGGATATTTTGAGTCGCCTATATGGGGCACTGGAATTGATCACTCAGGTTTCGGACACCCCTCAAAATGGCGCTAATGAAAAGAATAAATACAGAAGATTGAACGGGGAAAAATAAGCGTGAGAAATGTCAAGTGTGGTGTGAGAGTGGGTCAGATTGCGTGACCTTTCACACTCAAAGCGTCACGCTTGACAGCTGTGAAGTGACTGATAAAGGTGTCTAACTTCACTTTATTATGTTTCAGTGTGGATGAGTGTGGTGAATCCAGGATTCAACCAGGTCGAAAGAAATGTGAGTAATCATCACATTAAAATGCTCTGATTTTGTTATGACAGAACATCAAGTCTTGTATAAACTTACAGTCACTTTGTTTGGCTTATTAGATACCAAAAAACTCACCTTGGACCCAAACACAGCGCACAAAGACCTCTCTCTGGAAAAAGAAGACAGGAAGGCAACAAGGTGGACCACAAAGCTGTATCCTGACCACCCTGAAAGGTTTAATTACTGGACACAGGTGCTATGCAGGGAAGGACTGACCGGGCGCTGCTACTGGGAGACAGAATGGTGCGGGCGGGCTTTCATCGGAGTGGCCTACAAGAGGATGTGCAGGAAAGGAGAGGAGATGGACAGCTGGTTGGGCAGAAATGACTGTTCATGGGGACTGTACTTCACCAAAAATGGGTACACCATTTGGCACAATAATAGGGGCAATGCAGTTAATATCTCCCTCAACTGCAATAAAGTAGGGGTCTATCTGGACTGGTCCTCTGGGACTCTGTCCTTCTACAAAATCTGCTGTGGCGCAGTAACCCTCCTCCACACCTTCCACACCACCTTCACTGAGCCTGTCTACCCAGGGTTCTGGCTCGGATGGGTGGACTCTGTCGTGTACTTATGCTAAATATGAGCTAGTTGACTTATTCCTTACCCTCTTTTATGCCAGACATGTCACCTGAGGGTGATGAAAGAATATTGTCGCTATTCTCTGTCTCCCTGCTTTTGACCCTCCAATTAAAAGCTTCCATTCTTTTGGCCGACCTTGCCCTGTGCATGGGTAAGAAGGTATTTCTGACATAAACGTTGCATCCTTTCTTTTATTGAACAACAATTTTCACAGAAACAATGAGATAATGTGAAGACCAAGGAAAATGCTGCCACCAGGGGAAGCATTAAAAGCAGATGCCAATTTTGAGAGAGAAGCTGTGGCAGGAAGCTTGGAGCCCACCTCAACTCTACCCTTTAGCCTGCATTTAGGGTGGCTGAAGTTAGGATGAGTATTTCCAAAATGGTGACAAGACATCTTAGACTTAGCATTGCCTCTTTAGAAACCAACAGGTGAAGTCACTGAGACTATGAACAATGTTAAAGCAGCCATGACCTGTGAGATATTCCCTCATGCAGTTTTTTTCGCTCGTCCATATGGTTTGTACAGTTGAATCCCAAAATGTACAATATTACAAGTCTTTTTTTTATCTCATTTGGTAGAAAAAGACACCTTTTATATATTCTTTGTTTACTGCATGTAAAGTGAAATATTTCTGGATGTATTTGCTTGAATTTTGATGATGGATTACAGCTTTCGTAAATCAGAAATTCAGTTTTCAGATTATCTCCTTTTAAAAAATCAAAAAAAGGATGTAGGTCTCAGAAGCATTTAACTTTTGAAAGTGTGTTCATTCATACATTCACACCGTTACCATCACAAATTTTTACATCAGGGTGCTTCTAACTTTTGTCTTCATACTTTTTAAACAGAAATTTACTTAAACTCTGAGTGAAATATGTGCTTTAAAATACTGTTGTGCATTATGAATGCTTTAGAATATATTTCTGCTGAATAAATGTTTGATATTTTTATTTTTGCAAAAATAAAATACAGTGAAATTTATACTGATGTCTTTTTAGGATATACAAACGCTTAAAAGATCATCAGCAACAAGATTGATGATTTTTCTACGGTAATTTTTAATGCCAGATACTGGTGCGCAAGGGTAGGTGTCAATAAATAGTACATAAAAATGACTAAGTGTTAATATGACAATAAATATGACTGTCAAAAGTCAGCAGGGTTTTTGTCAGGGGATGTGACAATTTTTTTTTTGTCCACATGGGGCGCCAAAAGTTCCTTACAGGAGCTTTACATATGAACTCTAGCTTCTTGTTGTAAAGACAATGCAGGAAACCGCCAGATAAATAAGCAGAACAATTTAAAGTTTCACTTTCAACAATCATTTTATTAGCAGTCCCAAGAGGCAATGAAAAAAAAACACAAATCAAAGAAAAAAAAAGGAACAGAAATTAAGATTACAGTCGAGACAGTGGGCCAATCACAGCCAGAACTTAAAGACGGAACAGAGGGCTACACACACACACACACACACACACACACACACCAAACAAACGAGTCACGTTGTTAAAAAAGGAACTGAAAGTGATAAATGAAGAAGACTGAATTTAATCTCATGGGAAAAGTGAGTGAGTGTGTGTGTGTGTGTGTGGGTTTATGTGTGTGTTGGCTGATCCCTCTGTTCCTCAGAAGAAATTCACCAGGACCGACCCCACATTCACACACACATACACAATCATACCTCTCTCTCTCACACACACACACACAAACATATCAAAAAGCCAGCCAAGGCGTCTTTCTCTCTTCAGTAAAAGTCTTGATTTTGTGTTCAGACTTTCTGTGACGGAGAAACCGACCGTTAACAACCCACAGCTGCACAGGCAGGTCTTTAAAATTGTTATTTTCTATTAATTCTGTACAGATTATATATTTTATTTACACACTGAGCAGATCCTCAGTGTGGAGACAACTGAAAAATTAGCAAACACTAACTCATGTCCATGTATCTGCTCATCGCTGTCTACAGGAAACTGCTTCTTTTGTACAATTTTGGACATTAAAACTTTTTTGATTAATATAAAGTCGGCAGCACTTCACGCCATCAAACTGACCGGCTGGATCGTCGTTCACACTGCTTTGACGTTGGAATCAAAAGTTCACACCTGTCTTTGATTTCTTTTTATCTTCATATTTGTTTTTTTTCCGGCCTTTCTTGTTGCTGCATAGACTTTGATCTAGTGAAAGCTTTCTTCTCCTGACAGAATCAAAACATGCACATCTGGATCGTTCCAGTGCTCCAACATCTGAGCATCAAAAACCCGTCTGAGGCTGTTTTCGAACCAACCCGGACTACATCAATCACTGTTATCATTCCATTTCTGCTGTTTATTCGAAAGGTGGTTTGATCAATTTCGAGACACTTTTTTTGTTTGTTTTTTTTGCAGATGAAAGATCATCATCAAGTCACCTGGAGACACGCCGTCCAATCAGATCTGAGCGACTAACCCTCTCACATCTGTAAACACACACATACACATAATGAATGATTGGAGCAGCATGGGGGGTACTAAGGCCATGATTAAAAGGAGAGACAGAAAGAAACAGCATTTTTAATCCCACGTGTGTCTCGGTAGATGTAGATGTCCTTCACTTTATTGGGATTCGTTTATATAAAAAGAGTTTTGCTATCTGAGGGTCGGTTATGCGCCCAAAACAGCCTTTTTTCAGTGCTCGTAATACAGACAGTACACTGATTAAAGTCAACACCGGCCATCTCTGCACTCACTCCGTCCGTTGCATACATAATTGTTCACTTGTGTATATACATGACCCTCCCTCGTCAGTTATTTCACTCCCGCTGTACTGGAGCAGTAGATTTGAGGCAGAGTAAAGCTCTATTATCATCAGACTCGCTCTCATTCGCACTCTCATTCACACTATCCCACGCTCACACAACGGGATCTGCCAGCTGGTCTCTGTTGCTCAGCTGACAGACAGCAAGGAGAGCTTTAGTTTATTAGGTTTAAAAAACAAAACAAAAAAAACAAAAAAAAGATAAAGCGCTTTCTTTCACAAGGAGGGTGTGAACCTGGTGAGGGGGGTGTTCAGGTTGGGGTTCATACAGGTAAAGGTGGGACTCTGCCGGCCTAGCTGAGAAGCTGGCGGATCTCCTTGTGCATGTGACACAAGAAGTCCACGTATGACGCTCCCCCGCTGGCGCTCTTGTCCTCCACCAGGAAGTGCCTGAATATCAGCTCAGTTCTGTCTTCCTGTTTCACCACCATCAGCTGTGGACAAAGACGAAGAGGAGGGCAGAGTGAGAAACTAGGAGTGCATAAACTGAGTATGAAACCGTAATGTTTAGCACATTATCCAGGCATGTTAGTCTGACTGTGAAAAGTTCGATTTGATTGGATTTCAGTGGGACTAATACGATAAATCAATAAATAAACATCCTGATTTATTTTAATCTGGTACTGGCTAAGCAGAACCAAACAAACCAGAAGTCCGCCATCGTGACAAATGCCCAATACATACAAATGTCTGACATACACATTGTTGCCGTCAACAACACAAATATCTCTGTCTTTAAGGTGTTTGTGAGAACCTGCTTACAGTGAGTTTACAAGGACAGGAGTTTAAAACCCACAGGAATAAAAAAATAGTGTTAAAAAAGTATCTGAAAATAGATGGACTGGAACTAGAACTGCAAAAATGCTGTGTAAAAAAATATAAATTACCCGACCAAACAGACTGAAACAAATTTTTGACCTTTCACTGACACGTATACCACTCATAAATTAATCAGACATTTCATCCTCTCCTGGTTCAGTCTTGTTTTCTTAATTCCTTGATTATTTTTCTAGATAAACTATCAAGCTTTGCAGAGAGTTTTATATCGATCAATTTCATGGTTATAAGCGTTGCATTAGAAAGTGGTATATTAGGAAAAGCGACAAATGAAACAGAAGGGGTCATAAAACGGAGAATGAGTCTACCTTCATGTATCTTGATCTCTGAGCCCTGAAGGAGTCGATGATCTCTCTGAGTCTCTGGGAGAATGGATTATCAAGCTCCGGTAGACTCGTCTGAAACACAGACCAGTGATGTTAAGAGAGTTTGACTTGGTTACTATGGTAATTAATATTCAAAAACATAATACAGAAAAAATATATGCAAAGCCTCATAAACAGGATGAACATTTTCCTGACACTAGCATTTATTATTAGGCAGTTTTTTGCACACAAAAACAACTAAATTTCATTTGTTTCTTTTCTGTTGATGAGGCAAAATTCATCTCTTTTCATGTAAAAATCTAAATTTGTGTTGTTCATTTTAACTCGGTTAGATAAGCCTAACATCTATCAGATCAATGTCTTCTCACCATGCTCGGGTCGATCTGGCTGAAGCTCTGTGTGCCGAAAATGTTGAGCAGCAGCTCCTGCTGGGCGCTCGCTCCCACCCACAAGAAGAGGTGGAGTCCCGTCTCCAAGAGGTAAACTCCACCTTTAGACAGCCGCTCCTCCGAATCCCTTACTGCCACCGGCAACGAGCCACTTTCTAACTTTGTCTAAAAAAAACAGAGGAAACCGTGTTAGAAAATAAGTAAAGATTAAATCTTATAAAACCTTTTAAAGATAAAGCTCGAAACTACAGGAGGATTCAAGAGGTGTGATAGATTTGTGAATTTAAGTGTGTCTGACCAGAGGCAGCAGGCGAGGGTAGAAGAAGACGTGGCTCTCTGCGACGTCCATACAGCTGATGAGCTGCCGCAGGTACGCTCGGTCGTCCAACGAGACGTCTGCTCCTGGCAGCAGCACGTCGCTCTTCAGCACGCAGTTTAGGTAAACAGGGAGCAGCTTCATGCACTCTGGGAGGATCAGCTGCAAAACAGGGAGAGGAGTTTCGAAATCTATGGCGTCACCAACAAATGTCTGAGTAAGTTTTCATCTGGGAAAAACAAATACCGTATTTTTCAGGCCATAAGGCACACCTGATTGCAAGGCGTGTTAAGCAAAACAACACAGTCCGGTAAATCAAACTTTATTTAACTCGGTTGTAACAACAAATACCGGCACAGAAAAATACGCTCCCTTATCCTTCATCTTTAGTGTCTAAGTTATAAAAGTTGTGCGATTTCTGCATCAAGCACGCCCGGATCCCTCTCGTCATTATCCGAGTCGGTCTCGTTGCTGTTCAGTGATGATTCCAGTTACCGTAATGCTCTGAATATCCATTGAGCGGATCTTATGAAAGTCGTACTTACACATTTCGACATATTTTTGAGCGCATTGTGCCACATAAAACTGGTCAGTAAGCACAACAAGTAATCATACATAAGGCGCACTGTCAATTTTTGAGAAAATTTAAGAATTTTAAGTGCGCCTTATAGTCCGAAAAATACGGTACTCCTTTTTTTACTGCAACCAGAACATAGAAAAGCTAGAGTCACAAGGTTGTAGGTACAGCTGTGCAGTGGTTTACTTCAGCATACGCAACGATGTGCTATTCACAGCATCACACATGTATTCCGTACCTGACCAGCCGAAGAGGGGCTTGCACAGTTCTTCCTGTAGCAGGCCAGAATCTGAGCGCACTGGTTGATCAGAGTTTCTCTAACAGCCTTGGTCGGGTTGTTCAGGATGCCGCGGAAAGCTGCAACACACACACAGATACACGTAAGCATGACAACTTCAACAAGCAAAAGTAATAAGTGAACATATTCCATAAAAGAAATGCATGACTTTGAAGAAGAGCATAACCATCAGTAGTTCACCATCTTGTGCCCACTTGGAGGTAAAAAGCTGACTACATTCACACAAACAAGCTTTCAGGAGTCCAGCAGCTGGGCTGACTCATTCATTTCTCCAAACACTTGAGTAAGACTTTCAGAGCACACTGCTGGGTGTGTAATATTTGGGTTTGTCCTGACACTGAATAAAACCGTAGAAGACGTTTTTCTCCGTAAGCTTCTCACCATATTTAGCGAAGAAGTTGATGATTGTGTCCGTCTCGCAGTTGCGGTAGAGGTCAGCCAGCTGAGAGCAGCAGTTGACCGCCATGTTGTGGATGCGGAGACGCCTTTGGCCGCTGCAGCTGGTGTACAGCACGGCGCACTGCAGGGATACGAAAAAGGTGCAGTAATATGTGTATGTTACCCAAGAAATCTAACTTTGCGTCAAGCAGAACATTGTGGTTCTTAATCCCATTATCAACTTGAAACTACTTTTAAAGAAGGAGGTCGTAAGCTAAAAATCTCGTGGTACACACCTGCATGAGGGCCCCCGTCTCTTCACTGAGCTTGTCATCGTGTTTGAACTCCACACTGATGGCCTTATCACAGTCCAGGCCCGCCAGCTCCACGTCTGTGGTGTTACTCATGAAGAAAGAGCCGAAGAAGTCTGTCGCTCTGATACCTAAAGAGGACGAGAGGAGGGTGTCGGTGACATGAGGGCGGTCGTAACTTTGTTTACAACCTTTTTTTTTTAAAGTTTCCCCGGTGTGTAACCCTCACCTGTGCTTGTCCGCACCCTCATGACGGCATCAAATCCTACCAGTTTCTCAATGTCTCGTCGCAGGTCATTCAGGAACCGCTCCTTGTCCGACTGAGCCTGGGATAAAGACAGCGCACAGTGTGTCACCCAGGAAACGAATCACTGCTTTGTGAGCTTTTCAAATGTTCCCCATGAGGAAGAAAACGTGTCTCGGATTAGAGCGATTTTTCTCACCTGGAAGTATGTGTACTTGTAGACAGAACCTCCAGTGGAGACAGGAACCACCCCTAATGTGGCGACGTCTACATACTGATTGGGGAAGAGGAAGAGATCCACGCAGCAGCCCTGAGCCACACACTCCTTCGCTAGAGTGTTGTAGAAACCCACCTGAGGCTGAAACAAAGACTGAGGAGGACAAGAGTCAAAGACGTCAGAGTGGGACAATGGAGGAATGTCTTCAACTCATGTCAATAAACAACACAAACTGAAAACTACTTCATGTTTAGTATAAACTTGTGTATTTGTACTTGTGTTTACCTTCTCTTTATCCGTCCCAATCAGCTTCTTGTCTTCTCGGTTCTTCAGCTTCCCAGGAGCTTCTGCGATGGGCAGAGACGTGTGGAACACAAACAGCTTCCCTGCACAGTCTGCAGCCTGGGGAAGTGACAGACAGAGGAAACTGATGAGCAGGCAGACCAGCACCACAGTACAAGTGTTACTGTACCGCCTGCTGCTGTGTCACCCCCACTACATCCTACAGCTTGAATTAAGCACACCCTCCCTCTTTTCCTTAAGAAACTATCAGGCAGCCACAGGTGGAGAGAGGAGAGCAGGGAGAGGAGCAGGAGGAGGCAGGTCTGTGTCTCTGAAAAGCCAAGGGATGATGAGCAGTGTTTCCCCTCGTGCACCGTTGCCAAATTACGTGCGCTACTACTTAAATGTCACATGATCATTGTCAATGGGCCACTAATGATTTCTGCTCACACTATGTGAGTTCAACAACACACAACATTATTTTCGACTTGTTTTGAGTCATCAACGACCCCATCAAATACTGTCGGACCCTCTTCTATCAACGTGAAAGGTAATGTTCAAGCTTATGCAAGAGAGTGGGGGTAACAGCGAAAATCACCCCCCCACCGCTGCTGAAAAAAATTCTAGGGGAAACACTGATGAGCATGAGAGAGAGAGAGAGAGAGAGAGAGAGAGAGAGAGAGAGAGGAACATCTGCTGGACTGGAATCATGATAAAATACAAGCATGAGTCTTGACATTATTATTCGGGACGTTATATAAAATCTTGAATGATGTTTGATCTGCAGCCTAATTTCCTAAGTTTCTAATAATGCTGTGTAAAAACACTTGACTACAAGCGAAATCTGGCATTTTATTTAGTGAGTATTATCACCAAATTTATGCCACAGCTCTTAAAGACCCACTCCAATAAAAATCATGTTTTTCTTGTTGTCTACATGTTCATGTAGCATTTTTCTGATGCTACAGGATATATCATGAGAAAACTAAGTGCAAAATTGCATTTCTGAGTATTTCTGCATTCAAAATAGTCCAAGTTGACTTGAGTCCCTTACAAGGAAAAACTGCTTACATGCATTGAAAAGGAAAAGGAAAAGTTGTAAAAGATAAAGAACGTCAGTGGGGTGGGGGCAAAGCTGGCTAACTGAGATATAAGAAGGTCATGTATTTGTTAACATTATTGGATAATCTCATCACTATAACTTTTGTTTTGGTGATACGTTTGTTCCCCCTGCTCTTTCTTTGAATAAAACCCTCTGTTTACCACCAAACTGAGCGTTTAATCAGCGAGAAACATTTGTTATTGTTACAAAAATAAAATAAATATGAAGCCTGTCGAGTTTTTGATACACATTTGAAGAATAAGTGTTTTAAGTTGAGTTTAAAAATTTTGTTTACCTTGAGTGCCTCCAGTCCCGCCTGAATGACGGGTCCAAAGACTGTCTCTGTTTCCCTGGTGTCTGCAAACATCTCTGGGATCTGGTCCAGCAAACTAAGAAGAACACAAACCACATCAGAACGCCCGTCTTTACCCGACTTGTGCGTGAGTGAGCATCTGTGTTTAGAGTTCCCACCTCTCGATAACTAGCCGGCTCTCGTTTACGTTGACCAGAAATCCGTCGAGCAGCGGTACGAACATGTCGGACACGTCTGACACCACCAGCATCTGAGGCTGAGCCAGGCTGGACTTGACGTTGTAGAAATGCAAAACCTTGTTGTAAGTGACGAAGCCGACCCGCACCACAGAGTCCATTTCTGGGTTCTCTCTGAAAACAGAAACACAGGATGGGAGCTTGAAAACGGGTGCTAAGGACCTTCTCTTTCTTTGCTGCATGCTTCATTTCTTGATATTGCTTCTTGCTCTATAAATAATCCATCCTTTCTAATCTGAAAATCTTCCTCATGGTTCTCTTTATCTCTATTTTAAATCATCAACTCTTCTTCAGCTCATTTCCTTTCCTCCTCTCCATATCTGCTGCATTCATGTGTGAGCAGTACCTGGGCAGATAGTCCAGCAGGGTCTTGAGTTCCTGGCAGACGATGCTGACCATGCCGCTCTTCACAGCGTTGTAGGATACATCAATAAGGAAAATGAAGGCTGGAGGCTGGGGAAGCTTGTTATTCTGTTAGAAACAAGCAAAGAGGTGGTATAAACTCACATATAATATTATCTGAAGATCTGATCATCCAATATATGTTCAATAAATGAGGGAAACATTATTTAAGCCAGACTTTATTAATGCAGAAGTCTTCAGGCTGTTTTTTTCAGATTGTTCTTGATTTGTTTTTCATAACTCTATCATTCTGACTTCTTAATAAAATCCACGTTACAAGCTTTTCTCACACTAAGTTGCTTCTGCAGACCTCCTGAAGGGGTCTCTACTGGCAAACATCAGGAATTTGGATGACATTCAAATCCAAAAACACAGCTCTGATTGAGGATGTTTGTTCCCTGGATAACAGGGCTCATCCAGACTCACTTTACAATAGTCGACAGTCGCCAGGAACTCGTAGCTTCCCAGCGAGAGCTCCGGCCTGTCGTAGCAATCCACCCTCTTCCCAGTATGGTCCAGATGCTGGAAGTAATGTGGAGGCACTGTGGGAGGAAAACAGGAGACTTAAAACAAGGGCACAGATACTTCAGGTCTCTCTCCGATCAATAAATATCAAATAGCTTAAACTTTGGTTGTATAAATCTTGTAGTTTACGCTACTTCCTAAACTGAACACACCCTTTCTCAGGCCTTAAGGCTAAAACATACAGGCTCCGTATTGAGCGTGTAACGTCAACGTTGTGTATCACGCAGCAAATAGGTTGCTATTCTAATCAATGTGTATTGAGCGCGGCTCTGCTTAAGATTTGCGCCAAGTCTACGCTTCTAATACGTATCAACCCACACAGAGAAGATCGTTCCAGACATGAAGTCATGCATGAAACCTGTGCATGCCATCCTGTACATTTCAAAATAAAACACCATATGCAAACTCCCGACTGTGTATCAGTTCGTGTAGATGAGAAATACTCTGTCTGAAGGTAACAGCACAGCATAAAGGAACATAGTTTACTTTATTAAACACGAGTAAACCTGCAAAAACCGAAACTGTAAAAATCACATTGCTTTTTCCACATATAGTAGAGGCTCAACAGTCACTGAATTATATCCAAATTAGCAGGAAATAGACCACAGAAAGGAAAAACAACCTGTTGTGAGCCACTGAGCATTTTTTGGTCTAAAAGAGGTCTTATAGACGTCTAAATGTAGCCTGGACGACTGGTCTAAAATCAGGCTACCACAGGGCTAAAAATGACTTGGAGTACTTGGAGATCAGTTATGCAACTCACAGTTGCTTTTTGAAATAAATAGTTGTCGAATTATGGGTTAAAGTGCAACGTCTAAATTCCATCTATAAATATATAGAATCAAGACGGTTAAAATTAGGTCTGAAATGAAAAAAACTAGACATGTAATAGCCGTCTATTGCTCAGTAGGATGTTGTTTCCTCTATCCTGAGCCCAGCTGACTGAGGCTGCACTATGCTGCTCCAAATACACATCCTGTATGTGGTACCAAGGGCTGCTCTATGGAGCAAATATGGACGGTGCTCAATACGGATCCTGTATGTTTTCAGCTTTAAAAGTGTCACTTTCTCCAACTTTTGCATTGCTTATTCAAGACAGGGATGTTACAATACAGTGTAATGTTATGATTTATCTACAGTCTGAAGGTGGGGTAAGGTATTTCCACCAGAGGGCCCTAATGCTCGCTGTGTATCGTAGACCTTGTCCCTCAATCAGTGGGGCTTCACGGTTTGGATTGAAGGAGGCTCCGGTTCACTCACCCTCTGTGACGCAGCTGCAAAAGCCGCACTGGAAGCGGCGCCCTCCCTCGATGAACTGCATGTAGGGACACATGTAGGCCTTGCACCTGTTGCAGCGGATCGGACCGCCCTCGCCGTGGTCCACCAGGTACGGAGGGCTCTGACAAGACATGCAACGAAAGGATTAAGAGAAGTTTGATCCAATAATCTGGATTTCTGAGGCGAGTAGACTTGGATTACACAATTCATCAACCGGACTGACTTCATCTGTCGGCCTCATGTGGGCAGAATTACTGAAACAGGAGGAAATGGGAGAGTCGGTTACATCCACGGCTAAATATGGACACCGTCTTTCATTAAGTGTTTTTTTCCTGCCAAAGAGACACAATGCAGAAGTGGTCCAGATGGATATCTGTTACACGTGTGGCGTGTGAGTGAAACAAGGTCATTCAGCCTCTCCCACCTCTGTGGTTGTGACGGATAATCCCACATTACATAACAGGCATCCGGTGATAAAACAACATATCAGGCTTTAGCCCTGAAATCTCATCTTTTTCAAAATCACGTCAAGAGGGCAAACTCATCGACTGAACACAGAGGCAAAGACCTGACTGTCCACTGTAACACATCAAGACCTACAACTATCCAAGGTTCTGCAGATTATTTATAATAACTGTCTTTAACTGCATCTTTGAGGTTATTTTTTCAGAGGTAGATAAAATATATGACTGAACTTTTAAATAAAATCAGTCCTGTGAATTTTGAAACGCCAAAAAATTGCTCATCCCATCCATTAAAATGTAAAACTCTCTCATTTGCATCGTAATCTTTGCAGGTCTTTGAGTATTTTTTAAAATTAGGCTCTTGGTTTGTCAGGAGACGTCAGTTTGAGCTCTAAAACTGTGACAAATATACATTAACGATGCACAATATTGGATTTGGACTGATATCGGATGTTCTTAAATTTTCAAACTTATTTCGGCTGATACCGATTTAAACACATCTTTCCTTTTTCAATGTAAAGAACTCAAAGTTTCTTCTTTAATGAAGCTGTTACTCTTATAGTGACAGTCTGTCTGCTTCAGGACAAGACAAACAGCATTACCCCCCTCCACAGATGATGAATGTTTTTTTTTACTAATGCTTGTGTAAGCTGTCAGCACATGCACATAATTAATTGGGGGTGTTCTGATCCGATATTGAGATTAGATATCGGCCCGATATCAGCAAAAAAAAAACATCGGATTATATCAGCCTGCATCTGAAATTTCCGATATCAGCACTCCGATACAATCCATTCCAGACTCTGCTCCATCTCCTCTATCTAGCAGCACCAAGCATGAGGAGTCCACATAATCACAACAACAGTGTGTACTAAGGTATTAAAAAAGTAGCAAGGAGAAGGAATGATGTCGGCCACGTGGCAGTATTTTTTCTTTAAGTTCGAAAAAGAAGTTGCAGCTGAGTGAAAAACTTGTCAAGAAACCAGCCTGTGCCAATATCGGATCAATATCGTTGTCGGCTAATACTGAATGATACAATATCGGTATTGTATCGGAAGTAAAAAGTTGTATGGGGACACACCTATAAAGATGGCATCACCTTTTTGGACAATAATTACAGCTGCAGAAATGTTCATATCTGCTGATAACATTAATTAACTTTTTAAACTATTATCCACAGATACAGATATCATGCTGATAATATCACATCTGTCGAACGGTTTACAGACTAAAAAAGTAAATGTTACACAGAAACGAGGATAAAGACGAGAGCATAAAGTCTTCTGGAGAACCATGTTAAATTATTTTCAAAGTGTGCCTTAAACTAGTAGAGCTGGCTCCACCGGCCCTTAGTGCTCTTTACAGGTTAGCGTCCACATGCCTGTGCCGGTTACCCCTCACTCCACTGGAGTGAATATATATCTGACAAAATACTCCACCATTTGAGGCTTTAGGTTAAGAGAGTAAAAGTAAAGATGATCATATATTTAGCATTTTGCATGACGTCAACATTTAATCTCCCTCAGTCTTTCTGTTTGCTCTCGTGAAAAACAAACAGTTCATTCATCTCTCAAGGGATTTTGTGTCATACAGTAACGGCTGCAGATCAGACTAAGTCCAGAATAAGAGCTCTGTATGAGCAGGGTTTAGAGAGGAGACAGGAGACAGTGAAGAGGAAAAGAAAAGGGTCAGGGCGTTGCTTACCTCGTCTGGCGGCAGCGTGGCGAGAGGCTTGATAATGGCGGCCAGTGGCACCTGAGACTGCTTGGCCATGTCGGCTGTGCAAGGCATGTTGTAGGCCGTGCAGCGGACAAACCTGGGACTGGCGTTCCCTGAAAACACACACACACACAAACTCTCCATCAATATCACCTCCACAGTCAGAGTGTGATTTCTGTCCACGGTTCAAACTTTTCACGTTCTTTGGAAAGCCCACCTTGGTCTTTGACTTGGAAATTGGTGGTGACCAGTGGCGGGGCCTGACCTCTGACCCCTGAGGTGAATTGCTCGGTACACTTAGCCTTGTCATCCTCTATTACCTGGATCTGCAGAGGACAGAGGAGCACAAAAATGTCAGACGCTTCGTGCATGTCTGCGGCGGAAACACACACCTAAAAGTCCAAGTGATGACACACTGTCCCTGGATCTCACACAATCTTTAAGACAAACATTCAACACGCATGCAGAGGGAGGACTGTCACTCAACCCAGACACACACACACACATTTGGAGCTACAAAACACACACTGAAACCCATCAACATCTGTGGAAAACTCTTAAAGGAGCCATGAGTGATACAGCGCACATACATGCATGCAGATGTTTTTGCACAGGTTCATACGAACTTCATGAAAAATAACTACATGGCATCCCTGAGAAAAATAAGGGCAGGATTCATGAGGACGTGCTGGTAAAGCAAGGAATTATGGGTAAGTTGAAACAGTGCACAGTCGCATGCAGGGAAAGGGAGTATTGTGAGGGGGGGGCTGTTTGTGCTTTATGCCTGACAAACCCTGAAAAAAATAAAGTCTCTGAAGGTCTCAGCGATAAGATGGCCGGCTTAAAGTCCTGGTCAGACACACGGGTGTGAAAAGGCAGGAGTGGGTCGAGGTGATACAAACAGGGATATGGGAGTAAATGCTAACAAAGGTGCTGAAGGAGAATACCATCGATAGATCTCATCTTCTTAAACACAACCAAGACGGCTGTTTTCCCTAGCCAGGGCTCAACAGTGCAACCGTCTCACTCGCATTTGCAACTAAAATTCGATGTGTGCGAATTGTAAAATGTATTTAAGGGCACATGTGTGCATGAAAAAAATTAGCCAAGGCAACAAATGTTTTTTCATGTAAAAACCGCAGTGAAGTTAGTTTTAGGTTTGATATCCAACAGACATTCACTGCGGATCTACTGGTGTTTTCTCACTCTCCATAACCGGGAATAGCAACAGCAGCATCGTTAAATCTCCTCGGCACCCTCGCTGTCAACGTCCGATAGGTTAAGGGACCATCAATAAATTACCGGTTGATGTTCTTAGAAAAGGCTGTTTTCCTTCAATAGCTTCCATATGATGTGACCAATTGACTTAAAATTGATTTAAATTTTAATAAAACTTACGTCGACAGATAAGACACATCTCTTTATTTCCCTAATTTGTCCTCATACATTTTTTGTGTTAAATTTAAAGGCATATTTCGAACATTTTCTTCAATTTCTTCCATGTCATGTGACCAAAAGACCTAAAATTGATTTCAAATAATAGTATTGATGTCGACCAATAAGACAAACATTATTTGATCAAATTTCATTGTGCCCTTAAAGTTCTTTGTATACTCTTTACTTTTTCAACTTGGGAGCACATGTGCTTCTTGTGAAAAATGTTCGAGTCAAGCCCTGCTAGTAGTAGATTAACATTCAGTGCTAATGCTAAACTAATCTGACAGGCCTGTGAAAGTCACATTCAGTGTTTCAAGTTTTGATGCTAAGCCTAATCAGCTGGTTTTATGTTTCTAGAAATGTGGTTGTTTTGTTTTTTTTCTATCAAACTTTGCCTGAGCAAGTACCGTATTTTTCGTTCTATAAGGCGCACTTAAAATCCTGCACCGTAGCCTTGTGGAGTTATTGACTGTTTTGTTTGGCTTAATGCGCTTTATAATCCGGTGTGCCTTATGTATGAAAATAGACGCGTTCATTGATGGTGCGCCTTATAATCAGGTGCGCCTTATAGTGCGAAAAATGCGGTAGGTGTACTGCCCCTTTAAATGGTGCCATTACGCCGGTGTAGATGTGGACTGTGGCAGTTTTATTACAACAATTACTGCTGGAGTGTTTCAGAGCACAAAGTATAAGGGTGATGAAGGGCGACAGTTACGGTCCATTTAAATAAAAACGATTCTGGCAAAGGCTGGTGATAAAGAAGGACTGACTCCTGACTTAAAAAAAAAAAACAACCATAAGTCCAAGATCGTTTTTACAGGAGGTGATAAAATACACGGACTAGAACTATGTGGGGTTGCAGGGAGAAAACAGGAGGTGGAGGCTGTGGGTTAGTGCAAGCAGACAGAGAGGAGAGGATGGAGCAGAGGAGAAGGCAGGCACACAGGAAACTTACTGGGCTGGGGATAGCGTCTGGATCTATTCTATGTCTTGATTTCTGCACAGCCGGCATGTCAGACGCTTGCTTTACATTCAAAAGTTTGTCCAGCATTTTGTGCAAAAACAGGACAAAATAAATAACATACACAAGAGTGAAAATATGAAAAAAGGAGTGTGAGAAGAGAAATCTCAGCAGGACTGTGCTGAGCATCAAGCAGCATTGTTGTTATTCAGACAGAAACTGATCAGTAGTATTGATCATTGATTAGTGGTACTGCAGATTATCACAGTCAAGCGCGAGTAGATAAAACGTATAAGAGTGTTTGACACATGCTTGGCAGAGAAATACAGTTACAATCAAACAAACTGGGAAAACCTTTAATCTAGGGCTGGGCGATAAAAAATAATGACATATATCAAAAATTAATTTCACTCAATATCGATATGAAACATCGTCAATATGCTTTTCAATAGCCAGCATTCTGCCATGTTTTGGTAGACTATAAGAAAAGCCAATGAAAACGGGAGTTGCTTCGTGCTGAACCAGTCATGTGCTGAATTAGAACCAAGTAGCAAACAACTGCGTAATAGCAGGCTGCAGCTTAACACAACCAGAGGACTTTAACAGGTGAAGCCGATAGCACTGTCAGTGAGGAAAAAAGAAAATGAGTGCTACCCCCGGCAGAAATGCAGATGAAGGCTCAACAGATGACGACACCGGTGACAACACTGGCACGAAAACGTCTGTGGTGTGGAGGTATTTTGGTTTTTTGAGGTCGGACATGAAGCAGAGTAGCGCAACGCCTTACAACAAAACGTCAAAGAGACACAAAGGCCTCACAAATCAGTAGCTTATTGTATTGTAAAAAAACATGCTACCAATGAGCACTGTTAAATTTCATTTAAGAGTAACAGGAAACATTTAAGATCATTTAAAACTGACTAGAGATTTTTTTTTATATCAATATAGACCGATAAAAAATATATATATATGGTGATCAACTTTTTCCCGTATCGCCCAGCCCTACATTCTCCCTTTAAATACAACAGCAGAACTTATCCAGATGGTTTAATGCAACACAACTCAATTTTGAATTTCTCCCACTGCGGACATTTATATCCCTTAGCTTTTATAGATGTGGTTCCAGTATAAAAGAGAATTAAACAGATTCAAAGCTACATTTGGAGAAGGTGGTTTATCGATATATCAAGAGGTGTGCTGTGCTTTTCTGTCCTTCATATTCACATACATGAGGAGACCACATCATACAAAACATATTCAGTTTGATGCAAAGCTACCAGTAAGAGCTTGAAACTATCAAACAAAGCCTGTGTGGTAGTGCAGTTGTAATAGATCACATTATATTGTGCAATCTCTGATATCAAAGTTATCCCCCTTGGCTAATAGTATGACTCAGACCGCAGTGAGGAGAAACAGGAAAGGCCTAAACACAACAATAAAAGCTGATGGCGTGTTGTAAACTGGGAGATTTGGCTCAAAGAAGTTTGTGTGCGCCTCTATGAGCGTTTGTGTCTGCTCACCGGGCTAGGAATGGCATCCGGATCTAGTCTTTTCTGTGCAGGGGGAGCAGGAGCTGGTGCTGGCGCAGGAGCTCCATAGTTTGGTTGCCCTGGATACGGGCCTGCATAGCCGGGCTGAGGACCTCTCACCTGCCCAAAAGCGCCTGAAAGAAAAAAATGAAGTGTTATTTCTTTTCAGTAAAAATGAACAAAAAGGTAATCTGCTCATCGCCTGAGTTTAGAGGACGGGTTCTCACCGTTCTGCTGAGGGGGGTAACCTCCTGGCATCCCCGGCTGAGGCGGAGGCTGCTGCAGCGGCCCAGGGGGGCCTTGTGGTCCTGGAGGCAGGTGGTTGCTCTGGGCCATGGAGGTCGGGGGCATCTGAGCAGTGGGAGGAGGGGGACCTGAGTGGTAGGGGGATGGCTGGGATGAAGGGGGTGGCTGCTGGGGAGGCATCTGGCCTGGGTACGGGCCAGAGGAGAGCGAGGTTGGAGGAGGACCAGGGGGAGGGTAGGACCCGGGTTGAGAGGATGGAGGTGGACCTCTGGGTGGGAAGGGGCCTTGGGTGGAGGGAGGAGGGCCGGGGGTGAAGGAAGGCTGGCTGACGGGAGGGGGTGCTGAGGAGAAGGGGGGCTGAGTCGGAGGGAAAGACTGATGCGGTTGGGAGACCGGAGGAGTGGGAGCTTGGCTGGTTGGAGGCACAGGACCCGAGTAGGAAGAGGGGGGGAAGGTTTGCTGGGAGGCTGCAGGGGGTGGAGCTGGGGAGGTGAACTGCGGCTGAGAGGTAGGGGGCAGAGAAGAGTTGAATGGCTGTTGAGAAGGAGGTGGAGGACCCCCGTAATATTGCTGAGGAGCTGCAGGGCCACTGGGGGGTGGAGGCTGAGTCGGTGCAGAGGATGTGGGAGGGGCTTGGGTGAAGGTAGGTGGAGGTGCAGCCGAGTAGGCAGTGCTGACAGGAGGCTGAGAGCTGTGAGGTGGAGCTGAAAAGAGAACGACAGATCAGCTCATGAATCTGTGGTACTGATTTGAACGTGTACTAACGCATGAATCCATCTTAACTTACCGTATCCTGGTCCCGCTGGGGTTGGAGGCCCGGAGTTGATCTGCATTCCAGTCATCTGATTAGTGACCTGCTGCATAGAGGGTGGTGGCCCGTAGTGTTGAGGGTAGGAGGGGTGCGGCAGTCCAGTCAGGTTCATCCCCCCCTGGTTGTATGGCTGAGCTGCAGCAGGCCTGAAAACATGAAGATCAGTTTGTGAGTTTGTCATGATCATCACAGAGGAAACAAGAGTTCAGAGCTGCAGAAAGACTTCTAACTTCACACGTTATGATTTAGTGGAATAATCGCTGCATCCTAAACCTCTACTGTTTAATGAAGGTGGATGAGGAATTGGTTTTAGTTGAACTGCAGCTTCTCTGCATAAGGAACATAAAGCAGTGACAGACTTTGAGTTGTGCCTCCACCACTTTGTCTTTCCTGCATCATCCTCTGTTGCTCGCTTACTCTTTCTTCCTCTTTAGGTAATTTTTTTTAACACCCAACCTCTTTATGATTTAACAATATGAAGTCAAATAACAGCAATTTATGAATGAATTGCTGACCTTTGACAGCACTTTTTAGCCTGTTTAAAAACTGATTTATTTAGCTTATCTGTAGCTTTTGAAAACACAGTTTGTGTTTGGCTTTTTCTGTATCAAATAATAGTAACTATGGGTTCATTTTGAGCACACAAAGCCATAGAGATCATACCTCAGAGCTTAATCCATTCATTTAAATCAAACTAAAAGTGTAAAAAAATGAAGAAGGCATGTCTGGTAACTATAGTAACCTACTTTCGCCAGCCTGCGTGAAAAGAAAAGCGAGAGACGCTCTTCTGTTGCCATCTATGTATACTTCTAGGGCTGGGCGATACGGCCTCAAATCAATATCACGATATATTGATCAGTTCACCTCGATAACAATAAATGGAAGATAACTACTCCACAAAGTGCTCACCCCCTCCTACTTTAACTTTGTCTACTTCAGCCGCCATAACTTCTGAACCGTCCTCCATCGCTTCACTTGTCTTTACCTCTTTGTTACGGACTGGATGGGATGGAGTCACATTTCTTAATGTAGGACAGCGTCTTAAAGGGACATGAGACCATAGCCTACCTACACACATCCAAAACCAACTTTTATTTTTTTTATTTATTTTTTGACACCAAATTTATTGGCATGGGCAAAATGACGCAGGTTATTGTCGTAAAATTTCGGTATCTGTAAATTTTCGTTTTATCGCCCAGCCCTATATACTATAAATCGGTGCATACAAATCCAGAGTGCTCCAGCACATAAAGAAAGATGGAAAACTAAACAGCAGCAACAAGTAATAATTTCTGCTGTTCGGTTTTCTATCCTTTCTGTTACTATTAAAAACAACTATTACTGGTTAGTGGTTACACGTCATAATCTGTCTTTTAACATACAACACAGAGTGAAAACATTACACTGCTCACAACTGCTACACCTGTGCAAATGAGCCAAAACAACTGTTTTATTCACAAGCAAGTGCAAAGGGTTAATAAATCATAAACTGCACTGCAGAGCCAAAAGCTTTGCTGTGGGCTAGGATATTTGCATTCATTAAAACAAGCCAGGATGCATTCATTTAGGGCAAACAGACCCCTCAACACTCAAACTTTTCAGATAATGACTACAATCCCATCTCTGAATGACCTTAACATTAAGCATTTAGCCTGATGATGCTATTTTGGTGTCGCCCTGACCAAAATAATCATAGGTTAATTCAGTCTGGCTTAACTCAGGCTCATACAGGCTGGCTGTCCCACATGCCAGAGGTCTTTTTTTTAATCTGAAGGGCTGTGGTTAGGGTTGCAACTCCGTAATAAACTGGTAGAACCGTCCCGCCCTCATATACAGCCCATCATCTACACATGGGAGGAATTAAGGGACTTCAAGATGATACCTGCAAAAGATGGAGATGCTGACAGCTCATGACAAGGATCAGGCGCAAAACAAAAGCAAAGTCTCCAGAGCTGAAAATCTTTGAGAGCATTATAGAGCTTGAATGTGAAAAGATGTGCAATTAGCTTTGGCAAATTTGGTGTCCACTTTCAATCAAATCCATCCAAATGACATTGCCCTGGGACAGCATGAAGTTTGGTGGTTTCAGACCCTTTCTGTGATTTCTCTGTGCGTTTAAATAGATTCTAAAAACCTGTTGGAGTGAGCCGAGTGTATGAAGCAAACCCCCAGACTAACAGGATTTTTATTAAAAGCAGTGATTGATCATTTTATGAGAAATAGCAATCAGCCCACATGTAATTACCTGGGTGGTGCTTGTGTCATAGGTGGGGGTCCGTTCTGTATTTCCCCCTGGCTGTGACTGTACTGATTATACGGTTGAGCCGCTGAGACTGGAGGGGGTCCAGAGACTGGAGGACCCCTGACAGGACCTGAAATACAAAGGTAATTGAACAAATGTCAAAGAAAAGAGAAAATCATGTTTCCCATAAACAAACCTGAAGCTCTTTCAATATCAAACAAAAGTCAAGGCCAAAGTGGCAGCAAAACCTTCGCACAGAAACCATGCCCTCGATTTACCTCAGAGGTTTTGAGCCCAGGCTTCAAACTGAGACCAGGCTGGCAAAGCTAAACGGTTGAAAAAAATCGCAATACTCACTGTATTTCAAAATGTTAAAAATCCCAATAATATTGTATCATGGCCCAAGTATCATGATAATATCCAATCGTGGCCTAAGTATCATGATAATGTCCTATCGCGGCCCAAGTATCGTGATAATATCCCATTGTGGCCCAAGTATCGTGATAATATCCTATAATGGCCCAAGTATCATGATAATATCCTATCATGGCCCAAGTATCATGATAATATCCTATCTTGGCCCAAGTATCATGATACTATAGTGGACCAAGTATCGTGATAATATCCTATCGTGGCCCAAGTATCATGATAATATCCTATCGTGGCCCAAGTATCATGATAATATCGTATTGTAGGGCCATTAGTGATTCCCACCCCTACTATCAGGTTGAAAACTTTGTGAGACTGTTAGTGGAGAAGTTTAAAACCTGATTCCTCCCTTTGTGTTTACTGTAAACCAAGACAAATTAAATATGACAACTAAATAGAAATTTAAGGCCTGATTGTGTTTGCAAGGAATGTAAGAAATTGGTAATAAAAAGTTTGATCACTTTCAAAAGTCCCCGGTTTTGGAAAGACTCCAGGGATCTTTTTTATGTACGCTGAGATAAAGACACGGCAGTGAGAGTGTCGCCTGTAGGTAAAGAGAGGATTCGATGATTGCACAGCATGTGGAGTGTGAAATGAGCAAGAACACGAGAGGAGTCAGTTACCTAAGTCAAGAGGAGAGGAGAGGTCAGAGACTGGGTTGGCAGCCACAGCCTTAGAGGGAAAGCTTGTGAAAGGAGAGTAACCTGAAATACAAGAAAAAGTGGGGAGGAAAGGGAAGATACTCAGAGATGAAGGGAAATGCGTGAAGCAATGTGAAGAAATTAGAGGGTCGCTGAGATTCAGATTAGTATGCTCAGGCACTATGCTGTCCTCACTCACACATGAACAATCACAGGGAAGCAGGTAAGAGGTGACTCCGGGGTTACAACTGTATGAGCGGCTGGAGAGCATCTTAGTTAACATTCTGACTTGATATTTTTTACTGGTTCAGTTTATAAATACCGTACATCGATTCGAAAGCCTTTATCTGCTTTATTTGGTTCCAGGCTTTTATTTGAGGCAGGCTTGTATTCAATTATATCAAACTCCATTTGTCATTGTATTTGAGTCAGCTAAATCTGTGCAAATTTAGCCAACAAATTGCACTGCTAAGCGAATTTCCTGTCTGCACAGGTGTTGTTTGCATATATTCAGATCAACCATAGTGTATTTAATTAGGGTAATGTGTCCACACATCAGCTGTGCACATCAGCAGAAATCTTCATGTATACCATTACTGATACTTAACATTTCAAGCTTTTATCTGCTGATACTTGTATTGTGCATCCCTATTTGTCTATGCAGCTGACAGCTGGTGAGAGACCCGTCTTTCTGGGTCAAATTTAATGTCTTTTTTATTTTTTAAACCACTCTTAATGTCACCAGAGCCTGATGTTCAAAAGTGCTTCGCCCTGCAGAACACACAAGTTGTTGGTTTACTCATTCTGCAAGTCTGTCTGTTTTACGACTTAAACTTCTTAATTTCACAGTTTAACCTCCTATTTTTGCTGAGGTAAAGTCACTGTTCTATCAACAAAAGCAGCTTCGAGAAAAGGTGATTTATTATGTTTTTCTGGTTTATACAAGAACATCTTTCTGTTGGAAAAAGTGAGAGCTCTATTTCTGTAACATGGTGAGATATTTGGAATAACAAGCTCGGCCAGTCAGCTGCAGAAACTGAACACTTTTAGTGGACATTTTATGTTCAAAAGCATGTTCACACCGCAGTTATTACAACCATGTTCATGCCTGTAAGTAATTTATGAACCCCAGATAAAAACAACAGAATAAACCTTTTATTATCACGTGCGAGAAAGTGATGAGAAGCAGGGAAATACCTTGTGGTGGAGCCCCGGGCTGGTAAGCTGAAGCAGGGCCGTTATAGGGTGCGTAGGGTGCAGGGTATCCCCCATCCAGGGGCGCGTAGCCGGGCTGGCCATAGCCAGGCTGAGGCTGGCCGTATGGAGAGGCCATTGGAGTGTGCTGGTTTACATTCATCCTCAGTTCATCCCTAAAACTAAACCAAATACAGAGGCAGTCAGAACATATCACAAATAATGACACACATGTACAGCGTCAGACTGATCCTGTTTGGCCGGTTTCAAAGCACTAAGAACAGATTTCACTTCCAAGACCCCTGAAGTGTAAAAGGGTGTGAGACAAGGATGTTAACATGGCGGTCTTGGATTGTAAGGCCTTACAACACAACCAAAAGACCTATTATTTGACGGTCAGGGAAGCATTCTCTATTTCCATCTGTGATGACAAACTTTCTGTGCATATTTCACCTGAATTTAAAACAGGAGAAGACACCACACAACTCCACTTTCAACTCTTCAAGTTTCTACAGTCCTTCATCAGTCAAACTTTTTCAAGGTAAATTTCCTGCTTCAGTGACAACACCTTTATTGGCTTTTTCTGTTTGCTTTGGCCACACCCACACACCTGCCACAATCATCACCTTCACACTCACTAAGAATGACATGACAGATTCAGTGGGAAAATTGCAAACTAAGATCGAGTCGTGCTCCAGCTTACACAAACCTAACACATATCATTACAGTAAATTATACTCGACCTACAACACCAGTAATAGATACTCTCACTGTTTTAATGGTGAGTTCAAATGCCTGATAGTGAGCAGACGTTGTGTAATGTCTACAGGTGTCTGTGTTTACAGGTTATAGCGGTGTTGTTTTGAGGGGACCACCTGAAGGTACCTCAGCTTTGAGAGTAGGATGAGACCTTCATATCACATGTCAAACTTTGCTGACAGTGGTTCACTTGGCTCCTGGACCAACCTATATGACAGGGCGATGAGTATCATCTATCAGACAAACACGGGCTAAATGAGCGGGGCCCTTGAATAATTCACAAGTCCGGGTGCCACAACGAGAAACACAATCGCTGTTTAGTGTGTTGGGCCTGCTGAGTGACCCACATCTGCTGAACTGGCTCTGGAGCTGGGTTAACACTTAGAACTCCGCTGGATCTCCAGCGATCCCACGTGACACCATTAATATTGTTTACAGTTTCTTAGGAACTATACCATGTATCTCTACGGGGTAAAACGTGTTCAAAAACGTACCCTTTTGGCGATCTATCAAGGGTTTCCAGGTATTTCTACACCTGAGATGTTTGATGGTAAATCTGCTGTGATATACCGGTGAAAATGTGATTATTTATCATACAGTTGTGCTAAGAAAAGATCACTATCACTAAATGCCGCTAATGTCTTCCAGGTTTGACAAGCTCTTTTGATTAAACCTATTTTGGTCAAACTTTCAACCAATTACATGGTCTTGTATTCTTCTTCTATTGTTCCCATGACGGTAGTGTCCAATAAGAGCAGGGGTGGGCAAATAATTTGTACATGGGGCCACATGAGAAACCTGAACTGTGTTGAAGGGCTGAACCAACAATAACTTCAACTTCAAATCAGGGGGTTTCACACAAACAAAAAAAGCAAGCCTAAATAAGCACCTACTAGTTAAAAACAAATCGAAAAAGTGCACCCGCGGCTAACGAGTTTTACAAGTGACTTCTGAGAGAAACAAGTTTAAAGTCTTTTATAATAAGCAGACTTGGCAACTATAAGGTGTCTACGTATACTTTGCTGATGTTTAAACTTGTCTCTGTTGATGAATGCAGGTCTAGGATGTACGCACGTGTGTCCAAACGGAAATAAAACAACAGCTAGGTTTTCAAACTTGTATAGCATGTTGATGATTTGACTGACGGACGTCACGAAGGGCCGGGCAGGGACATCCAAAGGGGCGGATGTGGCCCTTGGGCCATAAAATGCCCGGGTCTGAATAAGAGGCAACCAAAGACCAACAAGAGACAAGAAGGTTCCCTGCTTGTCTGCAAAACAGTGTTGCTTTCGTTGATGACGTTGACGAAAATATTCTGTCAACGTCATCATCAACGAAAACAACACTGCAGAATATGTTTAGCATTTGACTGGCGAAATGCTCATGAATTTTACAACTCTGTTTGTCGTCCACCACTAATGTTTTCGTCTAGTCTCGTCAACGTAAACGCACATTCGTCTTGTCACATTTCGGTCATCTAAGACTTATGTCTAGCTCGTTAACATCACGTCTTTGGCGTCAACGAAATATTTTCGTGATCAACAAGAGACAAGAAAGTTCCCTGCTTTTCTGCAAAATAAGAAAAAATGGTCCTCAATGCTTGGAAACAAGCAAAGAAGAGATTATAAGCAGTATGATGTGGTCCTCTCTCTCATCTCAGACAGGAACTGCTTCAAGGAGTGGCAAAAACAACTGGAAGAATTGGTGTAAATATGTAAATAGATTCTGTTGTGTATTTGTTCCAATCCCAATATTTCCTCTCCTGATAGCCAAGACTTGAGAAAATGATGTACAGGTGAGGAAAGGCTTGGTCACTGTAGATTTATGTGTTTTTTGTGTAAAGTACTGTTGGTTTCAATTTCTGATTTTGTTTTTTTGGTTCTGAATCGACTGTCACTATCATTTTACAAAATTTTTGTCTCCATAAACTGACAGCTGAGGTTGTCCTGAAATAATAGATGTGTATATATCTGCTGTGCTTGAAAGGATAGTAGATTTTTACAAAAGAAAAACAGGCGGGCCAAAAATAGCTAAATATAGCTGGGAGTTCTAAGGGTTAACAGCGTTAACTCGAAAGAAAAGTATAAAAACTGAGAGAAAGACAAAACCATTTAAGTTTTACACAAGAAACAACAAGGACGAGGGTGGTAGTTAGCAGGATGCTAACAGTAGCAAAGCCTCAGTGCGGCATTACAAGTAGCTCACTTGTTAGCAACCAAAAACCTTCACCGCAGATCCAGACTTAACATAACATGGCGAACTCTTTCAGCTGGGCTATGCTAACACAACATAACACCTTTGATATGACATACTTCCGAGTGAAGACGAGCTAGCTGCTGTTAGCATCCACACAGCTTGGATAACGATGACAGCAGCTGTGGTTTGGATCAGCTGTGACCAAATGGATACTTAAGCGAAGGTTAGCCGTTAGCTACACACGGCTATCTTAGCAGGAGAGCGTTAGCTTCAGCTAGCATTAGCATAAAGCCGAGCTCACCTGTCAAGCCGGTTACGCTGACCTACAAGAATCCGCCTCAGATCGAAACCTACCTCCGATGTGTGGTGATCAATAAGGCTATCCTCTATCAGTGAAACCCGGTGGCCGACAAACTGTAGAGCCGATGTCGTCCCGGGGTGATTCTCACTAATCCCTCCTCGGTATCAGAAGCGGACATTCAGCGGAACTGCTGCAGCGCTTTGCCACGTCCACATCCGGACTCTGCGGAGCCACTTCCCCCCAGATTCACCTCCCAGACTGCGCGACACTGCCTACAGCAGCATGCCATTTTGTGACTAGTTTTAAAGAATAAAATTTAATTGAAGTCTTAATAAGTTTAAAAACAGACAAATGAGTAAATAAATAAAAAAGTGAGCCCACTTTTTCTGCTAGATGAAACTTTCACTTTCAAATATGACGAGAAGTTACTCAGTCAGTACGTCAATTCTGCTCATGTTGGCCTCCAGATTCAGTTAGTACGGAGGCCGAGAACCGCCACTGCTGCAAATAAAAAAAGAATTAAAAAAGATAAAAAAGTATGAAGGAGCATTAGAGCCAAAATAAGGGGGGGAAAAAAATTAAGACTTTGTAATTACTTACGGGAATAAAGTCGTAATACAGTAATTACTGAGTTGTAGAATAAAGTTGTAGTGAAAACATTACTTAAATTAAAGTCATAATAAAATAATTACATGCGAGAATAAAGTTGTAGTAAGGTATTTACTTACAAGAATAAAGTCGTCGCAAAATAATTTCTTACGAGAAAAAAGTCATAGTAAAATCATTACTTAAGAGAATAAAGTCAATATGAAGTAATTATTTACGAGAATAAAGTCATCGTAAAATCATTACTTAAGTGAATAAAGTCATAATAAAGTAATTACTTTCAAGAATAAAGTCATCGCAAAACAATTTCTTACGAGAATAAAGTTGTCGTAAAGTCATTATTTACGAGAATTAAGTCGTAGTAAAATCGTTATGATACTCATGATAAGGTGGTGCTGATGTGCCAAAAGATTAAGTATCTCCTTGTTTGAGAAACATATATCGAAGTACATTTTCATGAAATACACAATTGCTGGTATTTCAATATTTGTCATCTTAAACAGCAGGTTAGAATATAAGGACTTTATTCTGACTTTACTCTTGTAAGTGATTACTTTGCTACGACTTTATTCTCGTAAGTAATAATTTTAGTACGACTATATTCTTGTAAGTAATTTCTTCATTATGACTTTATTCTCGTAAATTAATGGCTTTAATCTTGAAGTCTTAATTTTTTTTTCTTAAATTAATGAATAAATAAATAAAAAAGTAAGCCCTTCTTTTTCTGCTAGATTAAACTTTCACTTTCAAATATGACGAGAAGTTAATCAATCAGTACATCAATACTGTTCATTTTGGCCTCCAGATTCAATAATGTTTCTCAGAGGATCTTAAGCATTTATTTTAAATTAAATTTCACATAATAGAACATATAAAAAGCTACATTAGACACGCAAGTACAGGAGCCCTGGGCATCCATACAGTTCAAATGCTCACTTTTTCTGTCAAGTCTTTTTTTTTTCTTTTGAGATCTCAACGTTTTATTCTATTATCTTGAGTTAAGAACCATGGTTTAACACGTGCATTCATACTTAATCTAGACCATAATAGTATTTTGACACTTTTGTAAGGTTAATATTACAGTTATCTTTTCTAAATAATAACACATTTTCCAGTCCTTAATGGGAAAATAACAAATCTAAAACCGCTACCAAAATCAAATATGTTTACGCAAAACCTTTAAAAAATATACTTATAACATGAAAAGTGGACGCCATTTGCACTGAATCCTATGTGAAGTCGCCTTGGCTGCCATATTAGGCTAAAGTTTTGGCCTCATTCAGTCAATGAGCTAAAATTTGGCGCATTTCCCTTACAATTCAGGCCAAATATGGAATTATTTAGAGTGCAATTCATCACGAGCCTGGCATGATTTATACTGGGTTAACAGATCTATCTTGCTGTTTTCCCGGGTCATTAAGACAAATGTTGTCCTCTTGTCTTTTCTCAGCAGGATTAGAGGTGATGAAGCTGATATGAAGCTAGCACAGAGAAAGCATTCATCACTTTTGTCAGCATGGCAGAGGGGCTTTCCATCTGTGAACCTGCTTCCCATATTCAAGGCTAATTTTGTAATGCGTTCTGTCTCAAACGGTGTCATAAAGTAAAGCAAAGAGTTCAAAAATAACATTTTAATGGAGACCAGAGTAGCACATCTCCATCTGGAAGCTTCTATGAAGCTGTTAAACCATTCAAATGGTAAACCAGCTGAAATCCCCAAAATACATCCTCCTGGAACCCCCTGTCTGTGCAGTGAGACGGGGTCTGTGTGGGTGGATGAAGACAAATCTGTGGGCTGTGGCTGCTGGCCAGGCCGGCTGGGCTTAGGGTCAAAGAGGGAGTGGTTGTTGTGGTTATTTCGGGCGAGTATATCAGCAAGCATCCCCTCCTGAGCAGTGTGTTCGAGAGTGACATGGCAAGTGTTGAATACTGGGGAGGATGAACACACACACACACACACACACACACACACAGAGACACACAGACACACACTCATGCCCCTTCTCACCCTCCGACACAGCATTCCAGTGTGAGCAGATGAAAGCCAGCCTCCCCCAGTCTCCTCATGGGTGGAGTGATTTGTCGTGGTCACAGAGGGGAGCGAGAGTCTGATGCCTCACTCATTGATTCTCGCAGAGTGTGAGGAACTGAAGAAAGGCGAGGAAGCTTCAACATTTCCTCAAAGACGCACAAACACAGCAGGCTGTGAGCGAGGAGCAGGGATGGTAGCGGAGGAGGTTGTGGTATCTCTCTCAGGTGGAGCTCCATGGGGCTTCAGACTGCAGGGAGGCTCAGAGCAGCAGAAACCTCTACAGGTGGCCAAGGTAAAGTGGATCAATTTCCCTGTGTGTGTGTTAGTGTGTGTGTGTGTGTGTTGGAGAGAAGAGTTACTGCCAAGGTGGTAATATGAGCAGATGGGTTTCATAGAGGATGCAGCTGTAAATTGCAGTTGGTCTGAGGCCTCTGTGGTCAGTCTGGTGGTTTCCTGTGGCTGTAATTCGAGAGATTGTTAGAAACTCTGCAGTCAAGGAAAAAATCTCATTAAAAGAGTCATCAAATCAGTGTCACTGCAAGCTTAAATTTCTGCTGTTGGCATGTACCTTTTGTACTGTTAACTGATCTTAAACACTAAGTCTATCATTGTAAATGTCCAGGTTTTCATACACCTGTGTTTTTGCGATTCCCTACCCTCAAACCATCATTTTATTTCAATTTTGAGTTCCCCAGTTTTGCAAAGGTAATCATTACCCTCTTTTGGAGAGCACCGCAGGGTGGTTACAGGATTAGTCTAGGAGCAAAGCCATGGTGCATGTTTAAAATTAGGATCTCAAACAGGATGACTTCTGGCACAAGACATCTTTACCTATTAAAGCTCCTGTGAAGAACTTTCAGTTTGTTTCAGTTCTGGCGCCCCCTGTGGACAAAACAGTCCTCCCTTACTTTTTCCTCTAAGACCTTTAAGTCGGAATGTGTCACTATTTTATGTGAATATTTTATGAGGGAAATCATAAAAACAGTTGTGTTTATTCAGCTGCTTGACTGACACCGCCCCCTGAAAATCCCCTACAGGAGCTTTAACTTCTGGCGTTAATTTAGTAGATTTTAATCATATATAAAACACTCTCTTTATCTATATAGCAGAACAACAAGGAAAACAAAAACAATTTAGAGTACTAATATTGGCTGATATAATATCAAGAAATGGTAAAAAAGCATGATTATATTATCATAAGCCTGAAAACTGTATAGAAATCTTACAGTGGATCTGATGTGCTTCCATGATAATAGTATGAGATAATAAGCATACAGCGGTATAAAGTTTTATACTTGCAAATGGGGGTATAACTTGTGATTATTATTTGTACTGTTAGATAACAGACTGAAAGTTTTTATGACCAACAAAAGCAAAAAAGACCAATGGGGGAAAAAAAGGGATTGATTTCTGTAGTGTTACTTTAAATGACAGTTCGAGAAGGCAGGCGTTGGACCAGATGATAAATAAATAAATAAAATAAATTTTTGGTCGGAGTTTGCTCGCACCAGTACAGGATATGACCAGCAACCAGATAAACAATATCACTTAATCCACCGGGGGGCACTGATATCGACTCTAACTGAAAGGATTTCACCTGATCTGATGGAGCACTTAACATAAATATAAATATAAAAACAGAATGAACATTAAAAACACAGAAATGTATTGCAAGAGGCAACACTAAGACAAATTAAGAATAAAAAAAAATAAGCAAAAGGAGAATTTTTCGGTAAAATCCTAAAAACAAATCACCCTTAAATGCAGTAGGATTCCTGATAAAGACTTAAATGTTACAAAGCCTCACAAAATAAGAAAGAAACAGAAAATGAACATTAGAGAAGTTGGAGTTTGAGCTTTAGTTGAAAAAAGCTGAAAAAATCTCTCAAAAACAGGATCAATAATAAAAGTATTTTGTCATTAAAGCTCCCGTCTGTCGTATTTTTAAGCTGTGGAACAAACTGAGCTCAATACTAGTATCCTTTTTCCACCTAAAGCTTCTCAAAAAGAACAAACATAATTTTTCTTTACAAGTCTTTCCTGCCTGAAAGTGCTGATACAGGTCAGCTGTTCTGTGAAGATACTCCCTACTCATCACTTAAACAACTTTTTAAAAATGTTTCCATGGCAGAGACCCTCGATTAATGGTATTTTATACTACTAATAGAAAGAAGGACGAGAGTTTAACAAATACAGCTGCATCCCAAAATGGGGGCAAGTGTAAAATTCCTTATAGGAGCTTTAAATAAAAAGTAGACACTGATTGATTAATTAATGCAGCTCTACATGAAGTAAATGGATCTCTTATACACAGTTTGTTCTCTGTTGTCAGACGTATTTAGGGGTCAAAATGGGCTCGAGTTTCATGTCTGCAGCCTGTAAATTAACAGTAGCAGAAAATAGAGTGAATATGTGTTAACATATACAATCTCAACACTGTAACAGGATTCAATATGCGTACAACAGCTCAATATTTGAAGACATGGTTCCACTATGAACGCAAAAACAGAACGAAATTGACTCGTCTCAGACTTGTCATCAAAATAATCTGCGTTCAATCCCTGGCATATTCCTCTTTTTCATTGCTATTTCTCCGCTAGCTTTTTGTGTCCGTGTTTATATTTGTTGACAGTCCAGAATGTTCCCTCTAATAAGAAAATCTATTCTGGAGACGAGGAACGCGACCTCCCTCACACTGACGTTACAGAGTTGGCCGGTCACTCAGAAGCTGTCATAACCTCGGATGCAAAGTGAAGTGGACGGGTGATTTTGGCACCTTGAGGGTCTCTCTTTATCCAGGATTTTCAAGCTGATAAGGTCACCTTTAATCAGAGTTTGATCAGAGTGTGCTTCCTCTGTTGGTGAAGGTGTTTTGACCTGATGTATGTGTGTGTGAGTGTGTGTGTGTTGTTGGGCATACCTCAGATAAGCTCTGTTGGGACAGGAGCACAAACTGCAGGATCAGAATAGCTCATTTAAGAGGAGCTGGAAGTAGAGCATGGAAAAAGAAGGCCTCTTGTTCACTCTCGACCTCCCTTTTGTACACGTTTCTGCCCTTCCACTAAGTATTTAATTGTTTGATCACGATTATTTTTTCATTTCTGATCACAGTAGCGCCAGTCTCCTTTTGTCCGTCTAGGAATGTGGCGTTTTTTTCAGCGAGGTTTTATTTTAGGTTTGTGGGGAGCAAATGGTGACCGACAGGAATCCCCTTCTGTTGAGACTGGTGATGCAGCTGTTCAGGCCCCTTTTTCATGCTGTGTACATGTGTGTATGTGTATGTGTGAGTACAGATAGCTTGACCCCTCATGTGTTTGTGCGCCACCACATCTAGATTATTGGGTCGAGAGTTTCAGATAAAAACAAAAACCGCGTCCACTCGAGAGTCCAAGTGGGTGCAGGAACACTTTCCCTCCTCTTAACATTTTTACTCTGATAAGATTTGTGTGTATTTGTGCGTCTGTGTGAGGCTGTGTTTACAAGAATACTTTCTATCTCTCCTATATATCACCCTCACACATACTTCCTGGAAGGTCCAATGACATCATCTCCCAGCGACCTCTAGCAACAGCTGCATGACCTCATGAGTTATTCTGATGCAGAGACCGGGGTGGCTAACATTAGAGGGTCGCCTGTTGCTGAAAACTTCATCAGTGCTTCTATAAGTAGCAAAGCTAATTTACTTAGCCGATGTGTGACCCATGGGGACAAGTGTTTGGAGTTTTAAAGTGAAATTTTTGCCCCTCAACAGTTCAGGGTAATGAAAAAACAAGTAGGGGAGAGTGGGTTAAGATGAGTCATTTCTCATATTTCGGAAGGCAGTCATAGTTTTGTCTCTAACTATTGTATCTGCATATATTTCAAGATGTTGTGCATCCCTGCAAACCAACAGAATGAGTGTAAACAGAACTGTCTTGATAATATCACATGCCAAAAAAAAGTGGTCTCCTATGGTCAACTTATCCCGTGTATGGGGTAAGTTGACCATAGGAGTGGGGTAAATTAAGCCGTATACCTACTAACCCCCACACACTCCACCCCAGCTCTTCCTCAACTTCTCTCTCCCTAAATAACAGTCACTTCTTCACATTCATGTGTATTTTTATCTGTTAAACGCTATTCGACAGGTACAATAATTCTTTTTATTATTATTATTGCATTTTTGAAAAGAAAAAGTAAAACATTTCAACAATCTGAACTGAAACTCTGATCCTCTCATCAGACTTTTTTACTTTCTCTGGCTCAACTTACCCCTGAACTACTATTCTGACTTTATTAGTCCTCTTAGCTAAAATGGTGAACTTTTATTCTAGGTTTTTGACCTCATGTTGTAGCTCATAGATACCACAGTTGATGTATAACACAAATTTAAAATGATCTTTTTTGGTCAGAACACAATTCTAATAAAACTTATGACAGACTAAATTCACTTTCAGGAAAAAAAAAAGTTTTTTTTTTTTATGAAATAAATGTCTAACCCCTTCACCCATGTGCTTCTAACCTTCACAGACTCCATGAATTGATGCCCATCTCCTAAATATTTGGTCACATGATCAATTTCTTTTACCATTTCCAAGCAACAGGGGGTGGCTCAACTTACCCCACTCTCCCCTATGTAAGAATGTGGTTCAGCTGTAAGTATAAATGTGTGAATGTTTTTCTTCCTGTAGGTTCGCAGGCGCAGCAAAGCCTGCAGAGCTGGACTGAAGGAGCATGACGAGCTGGTTGCCATTGGAGATCACACGTGCGCTGATCTCAGTCATGCTCAGGCCATGAAACTCATAGACACACAGAGTGCGACTCTGAACCTGAGGGTCAAAAGGTCAGAAGATTTTCTCACACTCACACAGAGCACATCACACTCTGTGATCTTCAGACATGCAGAACAAACTGATGCGTGTTTTACATTTTCACAACTTGTCATCTGTGTGTCTCCAGAGCCCCTCCCGGTTTTCACTCCTCCTCTCACTCGACATCGTCCCGCTCCTCCACGAGGGTCCTGTCTCCCACCGCCAATCGATCCTCCATCCTCTCCCCTACAGGGATTCCCAGCGGGATCACTTCCCCTCCTGACAGCGAGGCTTACTACGGTGAGACGGACAGTGATGCTGACACGCAGTCACACACGCACCGTCGCCAACGCCGCACGCCACCTCATGCACGTTCACCTGCTCGCTATGACAACGAAGAGGAAGAGGAGACTTCAGAGATGAGCGGGTATGGGAAAGGACCAGAATTCATTTTTCTCTCAATCAATAATATTGTTTAATTTATAAACTGCTTTACCAGCCAGTTTAATCTGGAATATCAACCATCAGAATAGATATTTAAAGCTGCAGTGAGAAGTTTTTAGGTGGTTATTAAACACACTGAAATTCTTTGTGGTATCCCTCTATAACATACAAAAGCAAAATAAAACATTAGCTAGTTAAGAGTAGATGCACAGCTTTGACCACAGGGGGGCGCAAAAGTCAACCCAAACTAAAAAAATTCCCAACAGGAGCTTTAAAAATTACTTCCTTACCCCAAATTTCCACCACTTTCAGAACGGCTACGAAAAGGCCGTTTCCACCGATCGCAGCTGATCGTAACCATTCAAGTTAATGTGTCAATTTCTACCGGCTTCTTTCCGTTCCTCTGCAGATCGCCTGACTCCACAGCTGATCATATGAGTTCTATTTTTTCCGGACGCTGAAGCAAGCCAGATAAATTCTGCACGGATTAACCTGTGCTGGAAAGGAAGTTGGGTACAGACACAAAATAAAACATCCATCTTCCTTTCAAAATAAAACACTGTTTCAGGTGGATCGTATTTCACACAATGCAAACTTGCAAACATGGAGGGACATAATCTACTACTTATATGGTAAGCCTATGTGGCTAGAGACAACTTGTTATTGCGCGTGAATCCACAGCCATTCACCTCACCAATGGATCTGGGAGGAACTGGCGGACGCCAAAAATTGCCGCCGTTCCAGATTGGAACCGTTCGGGATGTGGTGAAAGTTGGGGGTCAAGAGTAGGATGACAGCTCAGAGAACTCTAAAATAACAAACTTAAGCTATCTGAATTTTTAAATTTGCCATCTTTGCTGTTTTTCTTAGCTACGAAAGCGCAACCGATGCCGGGGTTTCCCTGCAGGGGCAATGGGATGGTCAGACTCTTCTTGGTGTCCCTCGTCGAGAGCTCATCTACCAGCCCCCCCAGACCGACTGGACCACCCCAGCACACACTCCACACACTCTGACTCCTCACTCCCTCACACCCACTCCTGATCAGTTTGCAGAAGCAGAGGGAGAGGGGGACAGCGGCTTCCAGGAGGTGGGGAGCATTATCGGGATGACCTGCCCACCACTTGTGTCTCCTGAGCGGGCCAAAGAGGCTCTGATGCTGAGCTCCAGTAATCAGCTGGTGCCCATGGTGGGACCACAGATGATTCCTCTGAGTGACGAGCTCTTGACTACATATATGGATAAAGCACGACAAGCCAGTGAGTAAACTAAACACAAGTTACAGAGGCAACACAGTCTTCAAAGCAGCACACAATCACAGATCTCAAAGGGATACTCTGGCGCAAAACTAATTTAGGGTCAAACACACCAGAACACCTAGTTAGACACCCCCTCGAGAGATGAATGTTACAGACCACTTGCTCCTCTAGTTATACCAACTTTAGTAATGACTGCACGATAGCAATACACAGCGGTCTGAGGAGCCATAAACAAACCTCAAGCCAAAACGCCATAGCCTGTGGTCGTCATAATGGTAACACTCGTAGTCTTGCAACATGTCACATTTATCCATCTACAGTACATTCATGCCCTGATGCCAGTGTCCGTCAGTATTCACTAATCCCATTCACACATCGCTGGCACGGCCACTGGGATCACTTTCAGGTTCAATGCCTTGCCCAAGGACACTTCAACATAAGACTGTGGGATCTGGGAACAACTAAAGACAATCAACTCTGTCACTAAGCTTCAGCCAACCCACAAACTAATACCAGAATTGAAACTTGTCTAGTAGTTGAAGAAGTAGCAGTAATCGTAGGAGTAGTAACACCAGAATACCACATGCCTTAGCTACACTTGTACCAAATTTTCAATCATTCTCTGTTGCCAAACTTGCTTCTGAAAAACAAACTTCTCTGGTCCCCAACCATCGACTTAGGTCACCCCAGGCCAGCCCTGCACTACTGCTCCCCCCTCATTTCTTTAATTAAAGTCTATAAAGAACTTACATTTCGCAGACTTGCATCTCACCCATAATCTGTTACAAGTTGGATCATGGAGACTATTTTATATAACTGGATCTAGTTACAAAGTTTGAGAACGATTCATCTGCTGCCAGTGAGAAACCAGGGACTGGACTTCTCTAATTCCTGATGGTGATGCAACTACTTCAGTCTTCACCGCAGTGTTTTCCCTTTTTTCATTTGAATTCCAAAGATTCTCTCAGAGTCCCAAAAGGCCTCTGCTGCAGTTTGTGGTGTTGCAATCGAGTCTGATTCAGCAGCAAGATCGCCCTCTAGTGGCGATTTCTCATACAGCCGGAGCATCAGGTTACATGTACAGGCCGGTGGTGATGGGGTGAGATATATCAGATACGCACAGAGAAATTCCACCCTCCCTTACCTTCCCTTACCCCTCCTCCCTTCCTCTGTCCATGCAGCCAGTATTCTGAGCATTTGTCTCACTCTCTGTATTTATAGACATTGAAGCTTCTGATCGACACTCAGCATAGACTTCACTTACAGGTCACACAGCTGAATATGAAATAAAAGAGTGTGTGGACGACTCTTTAATATGGCAGAAAAGTAGGCATGAAGGTTAAGGTGATGAATTAAAAGTAATGAGGCGGTTAATCAATTTTGTCTTGAATCATAAAATAGTTTTATTCTCAAATTATCACTTAAATCTTGACATCTCCATTTTTTCCCTCAAAATGTACAATAAAAAAAATCTTCCTCACACAAACCTCATGTTTATCATAGTTATAATTCTGCAATAGGTTCTTGATGAAAGAAAACAACACAATCAGTCAAATTGGGGACTGATGTTTCAGCTGCTAAAATGTCTAACCTCATTTAATGACCTTTTCATGCTTTTATTGTGATGAATTTATATCTTGCAATTAGGTGTCTTAATTTCCTGCATTATCAAACTACGCTTTTATTTTGAAGTTTACTACGAAAGATATTTTTGGTTTCACAACAAATCTTTAGCATCAGTTTTAAAATAGTAGTACTCTGCTACTTCTTTGTCTATCCTTCATGTTATGATAGGTGGCAACCATAGACTCAATGATAACTGGACATAGAGCCGTTGACGTCATCTAGTTGGCTAGTGTCCCTGCCTGTCGGTCAAGTTAGCTATGCCTCAGATTCACTGATCTTGTAACCTTTATAATTAAAAAAAAAAAAAAAATAGACTGGAAACAGGTTTATTTTCTCTCTAAAAACTAGCTTCTTTGGCTTACAGTCTATGGCTATGTTCACACTGCAAGTCAATTCCGATTTTTTAACCATATGTGACACATATCTGATTTTTTCATTGAAGTGTGAACAGTGCAATTCTGATTTCTTTCAAATCCGACCCAGGCCTCTTTTGTATGTTGATGTAAATCGGATATGTAACTGATGTGACTGCAGTGTGAACGCTCAGGTCGCATTCATCCGACCTATACGTCATCAATATGCGACAAACGTCACCATCGTTCGACAACGCAAACAGGCGCGGAAAGCAATTTGTGCTTTGTGTGCATGCGGGTCACTTCACAGACGCCTTCCGTTCACATCAGATGCCGCATTCGTTCTTGTAATGTGAACGACTGCACAAAAAGATCAGATTCAACAAAAAATCTTAATCGTGCATCATAACCTGCAGTGTGAAGGTAGCCTATGTGGTTTCTAGTGCTCCTGCAGTCAGCCTCAAGTGGACACTCTGGGAACTGCAGTTTTTAGTAATTTCAAATCAGCTTCATTTCTCAAGTCCAGAGTTTGCTGTTTAGGGCAACCAGTGTTAATCGCTCCTATGAACTATGGTATTATTAGTTGCTATTTTTTTGCTCTATTTCAATTTTTATATTAAAAAAATGTAAACATGGGCACATTGTAAAAGCCCTGATACTAAAATGTAAAACTAAGTTTGAAACAGCAATTTGGTGAAAAACTCCTCCTACCAAACTTTTTGTCAGGAAAGGGGAAAACTTTATTGTCTGAGTACTGAACTCTGTCTCGTAGATAATAGAGTTTTATCCGTCTCGTCTGTTTAACTCATCAGTTATTTCGAGGTAACAATGATCACAGCTGATGGAAGGACATAACTATCTACTGAGTGAGCTGTGATTCACTAATGACTGATCTGTCCTCGAGTACAAGAGCCTGACTGAGGGCATGGCTTTGCTGTAAGACCAGTGGTGACCGAGGTCTCTCAGGACCCTTTTCCTGCCCTTTCTCATGTTACTGACACACACACAGACACAGACACACACAAACAAACAAAAGCACACAACATGCATAACCTTTGACGTTGAATGTGGGATTGTTTGCTCTGCTGCTGTAGAGATGTAGCTGGCTAGCTAGTGTGTGTGTGTGTGTGTGTGTGTGTGTGTGTATGTGTGTGTGTGGTGTATGAGTTCATAAAGCCAATTATAGATTAGAGGAAAGCCTGGTCATAACTCTTCACTGATGTGCTTTTCTCTGCTGCTGACACTTCACACCCAGAATCCACTGCACGCACGCACACACACACACATTCAATGACACAGCCGTCCAAATATCTTATGGTGTGGGGTCTTCCGTCCTTGTGTGTCTCTGTGTGTGTGTGTGTGTGTGTGTGTGTGAGACAGAGAGCAGACAGGTGTTTGATGCCCGTCACATCGACAGGAATAGTGGGTTGACATCATGTGTTGCTTTGAGTTGCTGGACGCAGACAAAGGTCTTTACATGGGCTGTGCCTGAGGGATGAGCTGGAAGACAGAGACCAAACAGTTACCTTTCAGAGCAGAAGTGGACAGAGTGTGTGTGTGGGAGGGTCTGAGGGAGTTTAAGGACACAAACACACTCACATTTATGAGATGAGGGACCTCACATCTCCTTCAGGATCAGATGTAGGTGGACATACAATCCCACACACCGTGTACGCAGGTAAGGCTAACGCTCTCTCTAATGTAGATGTAGCTGGTTATCTAAACACTTCTTCAGTTTTCTAATGAAGTAAAGTTATTCTCTCTTTTTAATGGATAACTTCACCTGAATTCTTATTTTCTATTTAATTTATAAGCTTTGTGAAAATATTAGGCTACTATGGATGAAAATGTGATGATGATCCTGATCTTGATGGTTTAGACTTTTGGAAAAAAGTCACTTTACCTGTTAACTCTGTATCTCCTCTGTGGCACTATATCAGCTTGCTTAAGCTATGCTTTCCACTGAGTCAGGGATACATAAGACTTTTTGAAATGCATGAAACCTCAGGGAGAAAATCAGTTCGCGACTTTTGTCATATTCCCAAGACTTTCTTTTCCTTTGACAGAAAATAAATGTTCATTTTAGTCCTTTACTGTAAAAGCCGTTTTGAGCTAGCGAGCATTACTGTAATCTAAGTGATGTTATAATATGTCTTCGAGCGCCAACGACTTGCTCACCAGCCTTAGGTGTCGTTTGTGTTGAGTGCTAAACACCAAACACTAGCATGCAAACATTTTAAACCACTGAGTGTGAACAGACTTGGATGGCGTGCCTCCATCTCATCCAATTGTGAGAAGCGAAGCCAAAATACCACCTTGAGATGTAATGATGGCGAAGCAAAGGCATAAACAGAAGAGATCTGGCTTGTGAAGTCACAAGGATAACGTCAAACCCCTCATGCTAACTAAAACACAGATTGAACTTACTGAGAAAACTTCTGGGAACTTCAGATCGTAGAGGTCCACAGCAGAGCAGATTCAATTCCAGTCATATTGCCTGACTGCGCTGTGACTGCGACATACTGAAGGACTCTCATGTTTGGATTTACTAAGTTGTCTTTCGCCACTCTTCCTGTACCCTGCTATCCTGTTACGCTAGTAGCGCAAGTTTGGCCTACTTATTGGCGTACCTCCCTCATGTGTACAGGTCATAGTTCTCATTTAGGCGTCACTAGTTTGACACCCAGCTACAACCCTTTGCTCCCAATGTCCTCTCCCCATATTTACAGTATCTTCAGCTGACCTATCTAGCAGAGGTGGAAAAACACACACACAAAAAAAAAAAACTTTGCAAATGGTTCAAACTGAAAAAACTTTACTTGACATGTCTTAAAGTGATCAAGTTGGACCCATGTTCCATGAGGCAAGCTTTTTGACTTATACTGCAGCCAGCCACCAGTGGGAGCTCTAAAAGTTCTGTCTTTACTCATAACAGCTGTTGTTCAGTATATTATTTTAAACAATGCGATTGACCATGATGTGTTAGCATGTAGCTTGCTGCATCACAGTGCAAAAAAGCTGCTGGTATGTCTGTAGTTGACTCTTTGCTGTTTTGAACCTTTCTTTGGAGGGAAAGTGTCGTTTTTACGACAGAAATATCTGGTCGTTATAACCGAAATATCAAGTTTGGTGTCAGAATCGTGCGTGTGTGACAGATATTTTACATCTAAAATGTTGTTGCGCATGAGTGGAGGCTGCATCGCTCTTCAGCAATGTAGTAAAGATATTCATGTGAGGTGAGCCAGGACACCGAAAAGACTTAAATAGCCTTGGACTTAGCAGAGATACACTTGTGTGAATGTGCTGGCGTGCATGTGGGTACACACACAGGCAAAGATGAGCATATGTGCAGGAGATACACTCTGATCGAACCTTCCAGGAGAGAGTGAGTCAACTCTGGAGAGCAGCAGGAATTCTTCATTGTAAATCCACAGCGTACACTCGTGTCTGTCAGTGGTAATCCTTATTGAAGCTACCCCACTGTTTTTAGCTGTCCTGCTGGCATTTCCATTATTTATTCATCATAAATCCGGTGACCAGGACTCTGCTTTGAATCCTCTCTCCTTCAGCACATTCACATCTCCTTTTCTTGTTTCTGTCTTGCAGAGTTGCAACGTGGGGAAAGCCAGGTGGAGAAACAGGTGAAAGAAGCTCGTACTAAATGCAGATCCATTGCCTCTTTACTCACTGATGCTCCCAACCCCAACTCTAAAGGGGTGCTTATGTTTAAGAAACGCCGACAGAGGGCCAAGAAATACACACTGACCTGCTTTGGCAAAGCTGAGGGAGATAAAGGAGGAGATACAGAGGGAGAGACAGGAGGAGAGACAGAGGAAGAAGGAGGGAGTTCCATCTTAAGTGGTTCAGAGGTTGATGAAGAGGGATTTTCAGCATCTTTTGACCCCACCTGGGATAGCGGTTATCTAGACCTGCTGGACAGGAGAAGCTCTGCTTGCCCATCAACTACACCAACTACTCCTACAACACCAACAACCAATTACGGATTAGGATTGGGTATTTCAACCTATCAGACTCCAGGACTTCTAACCACTGTCAATCAAAGTCCAGGGTTGGAGGTATCAGGATTGGAGAGTTCAGCCTTGCAAGGCTCCCTGGAAAGCAACATCACGAAACAGCCAAGCAGTCACCACCCTTCACCAATGTCCCCTCCAGCTGTTGCTCTGACCAATGGGGGGTCTGTAGCTGTTAGCCGAGCGAGTGTTGTCCTGAGTCCCCACACTCAGACACACCTACCAAACCAGAATGGGCAACATGTCAACACTATGCCTACGTCTAATCTTAGTCCTGGCCCAATCACTAACTCAGATCCTAACCTGAACGCCAATTTAAACCTCTCTCCAAATGTTCTGAATCGGACTGCACGCCCCTTCGCCCCAGGTTCTACCCCATCCCGCCCAACTGTTACCTCTGTGATGTTTCGCCCTCCCCAACCTAAACCAACAGCCATGACTATGGCGGCAAAACCAGTGTCTGCCGTCTCCATGATGACTATCCAACCATCTCGCCAACCATCGGGGCCAGATCCGAGGAGAGCCGTATCAAGCACTTCCCTGTACATCCCTCCAAGAAATGCAAACGGCAGCACTACCCCATCTGTCAACTCTCCTCCCTCTTCTTTGTCTTCCGTGCCATTCTCCCAACCTGCAACAAATCCACCAACATTTTCTCCTCAGCCTTCAGTGTATGCTTCCCAATCTGCTCCATTCTCTCCATCTGCAGCTCAAAGCAACCTAGTTTACCCAACACCTGCTCAACCCTTCTCCCTTCAACCTCCTATGTCATTTCCCTCACATCTTTCTCCTGCTTATCCACCTCCCCCTTCCTACATTGCTGCTTCCTCCATTTCCCCAACACATCCCCCCGATCTGACTCGTGCCCCTTTCCCTCCCCAGCCAACCCCTCCGCCTCCCCCTCAAACTCAACCTGCTGCACCCCCACCAGTCCACCCCTATATCAACACATCAGGTGCAATGACACCTGTTCCTCATGCGGCCATGGAAACTGAATCACCTCCACAAGTTCCTGTTGCAGATGCTCTGGGGACACGCGAACAGCGCATTTCTGTCCCTGCTGCTCGCACCGGTATCCTGCAGGATGCCCGTCGTCGGAGTAGCAAGAAGCCAATGTTCTGTGCTGTCCAGAACAAAGATGTCAATCCAAACCCTGACTTGGTGTCGATGGTACAAAACATGGATGACCGCTTTGTGAGAGCCCCAGGTGCTGAACCTGCAGCTGCACCAGGTGGGGAGACTGGACATGAGTCAGGGCCTGAGGAGGACTGGTTGAGGCTTGGTGCAGAGGCTTGCAACTTTTTGCAAGCTCAAAAAGGACCAAGACCACCTCCAGTTGCTCCTAAACCACAGACCCCTCAAGTGCCACAGCTTGGTGGGAAAGGTGGTCAGTTGTTTGCCCGAAGGCAGAACAGAATGGATCGGTACATTGTGGAGCGGGCCCCCTCCGTTGCTGCAGCACCTTACTCTCCTGCCCAGCCAAGAGAGCCCTCGCCAACTCCTTCTCTTCCTGCCGCATGGAAATACTCGTCCAACATTCGTGCTCCCCCACCAATTAACTACAATCCCCTACTCTCTCCCTCTTGTCCTCTCAAAGCCCAGAAGAAGACTGAGGTGGCAAAGTCTGGCACGGCTGGATCTAAAGCTAAGAAAGCAGCAGCCAAGTCTGTTGACATCATGAACCACCAGCCCTACCAGCTCAGCTCTTCTCTGTTTAGCTACGGGGCCGGGGCTCCACAGGTTACCTCCAATCATCAGCAGCATGGAAGTTCAAATGGTCCTCAGAAGACAGCACGAGTGTATGAAGTGAAGCGCTTCTCCACGCCGCCACCAACAACCACAGGACCTGCCCTCAAAGTTATTGTTCCTCGCTCAGCCACGACCCTTGGGGAACCTTTGTGGCGCTCGGATGTCACATCCCCTCCGCCAACAGCTCAAGCTTCCTACCAACCCCAGCCTTACCAACCTCAGTGGGCAACCTCCCCAATGTCTCATCCACCTCCTGCTCCTACCGCTCCACTCCCCCAGCTCCCCTCCTTCTCCTCGGCTCCTGCCCAAAATCCAGTCCAGATGCCTACTTTCTCCCACCTGCAGCCTTCCAACAGCGCTCAGGCCAACAGGCAATTTAAGAGTGCCCCAGATCTGAGTCCCCTGAGCCCTACTGGTGCCTCACGGCCGATGTCCAACAGTACCCAACTGCCTGCAGTCCCCAGGCCCAGGTTCAGCACCTCCAGCCTGGGTCTGCAGCCTTGCGTCTGGCGCCCTGGAGCACACTGACCTCTGGTCTGGACATTTTAAACCATGGCTCTACGGGGACATAAAGAAATGTTTCCTTTTCAATGTGCTTTGAGTTTTAAATTGTTGCTGCACCTGTTTTTATTACCCATATTTTATCACACCATCATTTGGGATCAGCCTCCCATGTAGCACATTTTAACGCATATTTAATCTTGTTGACTCATTTTTTGTGGCACATTTTGTAATAGCTTAAGGGAACACTTGTGCTTTGAGAAGAAAGAGAAATGAGGTAACCCGAGAAAAGTGAAATGCTCAGTGGTAGACTGAAAAGATGGACTGAGAAAAAGAGGATTGCTCTGGATGATGAAGAACATAGAGAGGAAGAAAAGCGGATGTGAAGACAGGACTGTTGAAAGAGAGGTATGGTCAAATCAACAATGAATGAAAAACACTGATGAAGTGGCATTATAGATGCAAAAGCAAATGGGTTGCAATGCATATTATAGATTCCCAGGACCTTTTGTTATCCAGCAGTAAATATCACAGTAGAAAAGTTGCACTCTAACAAGTCCTGCTACAAGACAGAATCAGCTTTTTAACTTTGTATTTCTTGGAATAGCTGTCACAACCTGTTGTCAGACGTTAGCTGATGGTTTTTGATTATTCTGTCACTACCAATCAAACATTAGCCTACTGTCAACCAGTTTTACATAGCTAACTCTTATACTAACATTGCTTTTTGCTAGTATTGTCTCGTTACACCTGTTTTCTTCAAGTGGTTTTGTTGGCATTTAGTCACTTCCTAGCTGCAACTCATAGGCTATTGGCTAGACTGCTATATCCTCAGTTTAAATGACACAGTCCAACCTAAGTTTCAGTGTTTCTGATGTTGTATTTTAAATCTAAAGTTTTTTTGTTTGATATTTCTAGGAGTTCTTTTGTAGTTTTTTTGTATCAGTATGCAGCGGCGTGTGCTTTGTTTTCTGTCGTCTTCCATTTGGCAAGAGAAACAGCTGTTATGAAAGAGGTCGACCCTACACTGTAGCCTTGATTTCTGATCTGCTGACATGATACTGGAAAGCTATATCATGTCTTTTTAGCTGTGATTCTTTTCCACAGAGACTGAGAGACTGAATAAAAATAGACATGACTCACATCAGCTGTCACTCTGTTTCTTCCTGTGTCACTCGCGTCATCACTTGCTCCCACACTGGGCTCCTGTATCATCTCCTCCCATCCGCTTTTCACTCTTTTCTCTTTTTCAGGTTATTTGCTGACTAGTCTAACAGCTTAATTGTTCCCTCAGGATTTAGGCAGTTTTAGGATCAAACACACAGCCTTCAAAAGCAATTTTTAAGGCAGCAAGGTTGTTTTTCGGACTTTGACCACATGGGGGCACTGCAGGATTTGCCATCTGGACATGACGAGCCACAGTTTATGCTATAAACCCTTGTCTTGTTAGAGGTTTAGACAGCTAAAAATGAATGACAAAAAAAGAGAAATTTCATATGTTTTCTGTTTAAATCTTAAAACTCTGCTTCTAATTAAAAGAAAATGAAGCATATTTACTGATCCGACACAAAGGGAAGAGATAATACCCATCACTGGGAAAAAATGCACCTTTTTCTATTCTTCTACATTAAATTTTCAATATCAGATTATTCCACTTTCACAGCCCCTCATTGGATTGTTCGCCTAGGTTTAAACAAAGTTTAATGACAGCCACCTGATGTCTCCAGGGCTGTGAAACCCAACCACGTCCAAAGTAAGGAATATAACCTTTGACCCTTGACTGGCATCAGGTAACAGACCGGCGCTAACTTTAGCTGCTAACTTTACTCCGGTTCAGGTCTGCTGGTAAGCTTAGCCGCTGCGCACAAATCTCTGCTGTGTGCATATTTCCACAAACTGGGTCATTTGACTTTAGAAACACATAAAAAGCTGTGACTGCACTTTAAACAAAGACGAGACTGACTGGTTTTCACTCTCAGCCAAATTATCAAATTCGTTCTGCAATCCTGTGTCTTCTGGTCCGTCCCCTCTTTTGTGTTAATTCCTCTCGCTCACACCCACAGAATCAAACACACACACACCCCATTTTACCTATTTTTGGAGCCGTTAATCTCAGGCTATTTGGCACGGTGCTAAACTCTTAATTCTGATGGCTTTTCACGATGTGATTGAGAATGAAGAGCTACCAGGTACATCCTGTCTCATCCTGCTGCTCTGCCAAACACGCTCTTTGATCGCGCCGTGTTTCTGGGTCAAGGGAGTTGAGTGTTTGGGGTTAAAGGTCAAGGGGCAGGTCAGAAAATAAATGGTCATTCTCACAGTCGTGTGCATTAATCATTTCAACATTTTGGCTTTGGGTATCGTTGAATTATTTGTTTCACTTTTTCAGCATCACATTAACTGATCTGTACGGCTTGCCAAAGTAATACTGGAAGGTTATTTGTGATGACCAACTAGCAAAGTAATAAACCTTCAAACTGGGAGTTTCCTGCTCTGATGGATTTATAGCCCAGCTTTAACACACATCTGTGTCAAGGCCGCCTGGCTCATCCAATTTCAAGACCATCACACCGCACGAGTGATTGTTATAGGCGCTATAGTGGCGAGCTTTACTGCAAAATTGCTCAGATGATCTTTGTGCCTCCAGAAGCTTGATTTCCATTTGTCCTTTCAATCAGTTTTTTCAATGTATGATGGATTGGCACCAAAATTTCTACTTGAATTTACAGTTCTTTGGTGGGGGTTCAGTTCCTTTTGAGAATTGAAACTGGACTTTTAAAAAACATGTAAACACATTAGTCCAGATGAAATTGCCAAAAATTAAACTTCTCACAGCCTGACTAACATACCTGATAACGAGGCTGGGGATCGACCGTAAGGGACAGTTTTTTTACCCTTACAAGTACATCCTGTCAGCCTCTTGCTAATGTATTTTTAACGTTGCCTACTCTTTTGTTCGATTCTTGTTCAGTGCTTGCAAAATAGGACAAGAGAAGTATCCAGTTAAATCAGCTAATTAAGTTTTGACTGTAGCTCGTTTTAACCGTGCTTGTAAACGTACTGAGTGACAAAAGCCTCAGACTTGCCTCATCATGAGACTGTAGCTCTATGTAAATTATGTAAATTAAACTGACACTTATGTCCTCCTACAAATTAACTTAAAAATTTCTGAACATTCAACTTTTTTTTGTTCGAGTTTCTACAATTACTTGTGAGTACCAGCATAGTAAATACAAAAATAAATGCTAACATGTGAACACCTTACACCGAGATGAGGAAATCAAAAACCGTACACCTTTAAAATCCTCCACTGTTATCATTTTCATCACAGGCTATCCAGGACGCTTGGTCAAGATCTTACAGACTCACTGATCAGCCTGAGAGAAATATTGTCATGGGTAAATTTTCTTTAAAGCTTCTGTGAGAAACTTTGGCGCCCCCCTGCTGACGAACCACTTTTCGTCCTCTTCACGCACAAGTTATGTCTACTGGTAAAAAAAAACCTTACGCTGTTGGCTTTTGACTGTCTAATGTGTCAATTATTCTGAATATTTTGTATGGAAAGTGAACAGAGCTGTTTCTGAAGCTGACTGTTGACACCTACCCCACTGCAACTTTCAGGCATTAAAAAATACACAATGAAAAATAAAAAAATATTCCATATTGAAGCTTTAAGAAACATCAACTTAACTTTGATGACGGTCTGTAGTGATACATTATGGAGCCACTTGATATCAGTTACAGCCAAAAACACAGCAGAAACGTGTGTCTTTGTAGACTCAGTATAAACCGCATTGACCTCATAGAGCCAGATAAACCTCTTATTTTCAGATAATACAAACCACGTAACATTTTTCATGCACCACTGGCAGATGATTTTTAGACCTTACAAGCATTCAGGTCTGATTTTTGTTTTAAATGAGACTATTTTTCTACCATGATGTGAATAAAAACATTGCTTAGATTTAAATCTTTGCGGTGCAGTTCACCGGCTTACTGCGTCTTCTTGTAGTAAGAGCTGGGAAAACATTATAATGCTGATTTCTTTCAGCACCCTTACATGAAAATATTGTTTCACTTTTAGGACAGAAACCAAGACAGTAAAGTTGCAGGCTGGACATCAAAAAAGTAAGCAAGAACTTATGACAAAACTCTTTAAAGTTGATAAAAGCTCCAGATTTAAGTTGTAATTCTCTGTATAGTCATTAGTGTGACCATACATCACCCTCTCCTCACTGTGATGCTGCTGTAACATAAAACGTAATCTTAGACTTTGAGAATATCCTTCAAAGCTGCTGAAAGAAGTTTCTCCTTTTCAGTTTTTCTCCCAAAACACTGATGAAATTCTTGCTTTTCAGAGGATCAATCCTTCCCGATGGGTCAAACAAAGGTTTGTTTACTCCCGAACGAAAACTCACAGTGACACAGTGGAGAAACACCGAGGATTTTTCCCCTCTGTTGCACCAGCACACCTTGTCGGGGAGCTGATTGACATGCTGATACTGCTTTAACAGCTGACAGGCACAAGCCAGGCATGAAGCTGCAAATCATACCCAAAGGTTTGCTTGTTTGTGGAGGATGTGAAAAGAGCCTATGAGAGGGGGAGGAATACATATCAATAAAAGCATAAATCACCCGCGGCAAGAAGAAATCAGTGACAGGAGAAGAAAGTAACTCCTGGAGAGATTTTTCTTTTTCTTGTGTTGGCTGTCAGGTATAACTGTCCCTATTTCATGAGATTAAAATGCTGAGACAAATGATTCTGTCCATTTTTAAACGAAATAACCTGATTTTCAAAACAAAATTTGAGTAACGTAATTTAGCACCCTAAGAAAAAGTTGTTTTTTTTACTCAAATCTATTTTATTCAGTGTTTCTTCCGGTTTTAATCATCAGGTCCGTTTATTTTTTTAACATAAAGAGGACACTGTGAATAACTTGGTTTGGTCACTTTGATACTCTGTTTAGTTAGGGCCTGTGTCCACACACAGCATTTTTTCAGCTTGGAGCGTTTCCTACCCAAATTAAATGAACTTCAGCAATAAGTGCTAAACAGTTCCCCTCAGAGAGAACCGGTTTTAACTATAGACTGTATATAGAATGGACGCTGTCTGCCTCCTCGCTGGGTGAAACCACTCTGTGAACAGCACTCTCTGGTGACTATGTTTTCTATGATTGACACCTGATACAGCCTATGGGCTTGTGAAGTTTGCATAGATCACCCCAGAGATACGCTGTTTGAGTCGAGCGTCATCACAGCGACTCTCCCGCCTAATGCGTACAACGCTACTGCGCAATGTTGGTTTCAGGAAATGGAGAGAAAACGTGGGATTACCGAGAGCTTTTGGCCTTAAATTCGTATACTGATGGAAGGTGACCCCAAGTATATACAGTCTATGGTTTTGACGCTGTGCTCCAAGCTGAAAACAGTTCAACTTTAGGAACACCAACACATGCCTCAATATAGCCATCACTGACCAATCAAAATCCAAAGGGGTGTGGCCTCTGATATCAACTTTGTCAACATCAATTCCACAGTTGTTATTTTTGGTACAGTTTCCAGATTCTAAAGCTACTGCTAACACCACAACACATTTTGAAAACACCCTTTTTCATGTTTTTGTCAAATTCCTTTGAATAAAATTATATATTTATTAAAAATTAAATAAGAGGCATACACAACATTTTAAAAAAGACTTGACAGTTACTACTAAAGGAAAGTGGACCTAAAATTGCACCACTTTGTAATCTTGTAACTTTAAGTGCTCATGAAGAGTGCGCTGAAATTGAGGTTGTGGGTTCTGCCATCACAAAAAATGCGCTAAGTGGAGACAGGCCCTTAATTGTCCACAGTTCTGTTTACTATGTAGAAGCAAAATTAGATTAAAAAAACTAAAATAAAACAGATAAGCGATTGAGAAGTGGATACAATCTGGGTTTTTAACCAATGATATGAGCCGTAAAATTTTATGGGCAGCAAAAGTAAACAAGCAAGACGAGCAGCTGCGACACATCTTGATATTTAAAGTGTCGTTTTGGTCCTTCTTGGGTTTCTCTGTCACAGAGTATGTTATTACTTGAAAAATCATCACCAGCTCTCTATTATCACTCACCTAACCTTTAAACACCACACCCACCTTCTTCCTAACCCCTTACTGACCCAACTCCCCCTCCTCCTCCCACCCATCAGGCCCAGTCTTTAGCACTGGGGCAGTCCTGCTGATAGGGTTTCACTCTCTCTGGGCTGAAGAGGAGGACGGGCAGTACAATACAAGCTCTGGGACTCAAATCTACCTGGAGATCTATAGACGTCTCCCTGTTCTGGGACCTTCTGGGACCTGTGTCTTCCTGTAGATACCCGGGTCTTAGGTAAGAGATAAGAGAAGTGGATTATGAAGTGGAAAAGTTAATGGAAAATCTGGTGTCTTTGTAGCCGAATAAATCGGGATCCTTTGTGGAGAGGCCTCTGTATGTGGATGAATTAATGAAGAAGGAACATGAGGCAGATGTTCAGATGTAAAACCTACAACATGTTTGTATTTTAAACTTAAATCTGATCAAAATCATGACTGTTTTGACTTTTACGATCCATGATTTCCATTCGTGAAGACTTAAATTAAATATCAATCAAAGTAAAGCTGGAAAAAAAGTCCCCAGTTGGTGGTCAGCGCTTACCTAACCATGACTGTGGTGGGTGAGGAATGTGGCCTGTGTGGTGGAGTTTTTAGTCCTTGGGTATGGATGTACTGTAAGTGTGCGTTTGAGAATGTGCTTACTGATGCCCTTCCTCCCCAGCTGTCCCCTGGAGATTTATCTAGAGCTAAAACAGGCTGGTTGTGGGGGGACAGGAGCACCTCTTCACTCTGAGGGGCAGTAACAGGAGCCAGGCCCTCGCTCTGCTCCTGTAGTCGCCATCAGCTCGAGGGCCTCCAACTAGTATTTCCCTGAACATCCCAAAACACCTGTAATCTCCTGTTTTTAATCCACAGCCACTTACTCACTCTGAGGGAAGCAATTTAAGTGCAAATCTGCGTGTGCGCGTGTGTTGTCTACTGATGACAGTCCCACTCACTGCAGCACTATAGAACATGTGTTCATAAAAATAGCTCGCACAGGACTGAAATCCCAGGCTAGGAAATGAGCTTCAATTACAGCGGATGAAAAGCAATTACATTAACTGTCTCCCAGTGGACGAGGCCTCCAGCTTTTTCTTCTTGTACAGGGACTCACCTACAGCCTTACATAATTGCTTTCGACCCGTGCGACAGACAGCAACATACCGCCTGCCCCCATCCGAGCGGTTAGTCAAGAGAGACGCGGGCTGCCACCAGGAATTAGTGTCCTCGGGGGAATGCCAAGGCTATGCACAATGTTTTAAGTGTGCTTAACTTAATTAGAGAGCCCTGCTCTGCTGCAACTCGTAGATTTGAGACGTGATCTGCAAGTTCATCGGACACAAATATATCTCGGAAATCAATTTAGACTTCCTCGTGAAATATTTTAAAGCGCTTTTGTTGTATCGCATTTCACTGGCTGTCAGTGTCTTGTTGCTAATTCTGTCATGCTCTCTGCCAGACCCCCGCGAGAGCAAATACACTTAAACATTTTGGGAATGACTCTTAAGGATTGTTTCTATTTAGTTTGTTGTATCTGTTGCGGTGTTAGATCGATTCAAGTCGAATTAATTTGGTTACCGAGCATAACAAATGTTTAACAAAGTGCACTAAGCAAAAAAATAGAAATCCACTTAAAACAAAGTAGGGGCCTTTATGTCGTCTTCATTGCTCCACTTTAGAAACAGTTAATCCTCAGTCGAGTTAGCTTCACTAATTTAGAGCTAAACACTCTGAAAATGTAGACTCCCGTATTTGCTGCTGCTCAAAGGTACCAGTGTAGATTTAGCGATATCGAGAATTCAGATTCCAGGTTGAAACGCTACCTTGCTCACCCCCTCTGAAAGTGGCTTTTGCGAAAAAGAAGCAGCTATGATGCATGATAAATATGACAAGTGTTTACCATGAAAAAACTCCTCTTGATACAGCTTCTTGGCACACAGCAACAACCACTCTTCTCTTCTTGATCGTTTTCCCCAACTGGTGCATTTTTTCATGAAATCCAAAAACACAAATGGCCCTACGTAGTTTGTACATTCTGTGTTACAGTAGAAACAAAGAGGACCTTCTTCTTATGCAGAGACAAAAAACTCAAGAACAGAACAACTGTAATATTTGGGTGGTTATACACTAACTCAAATAAACTTATGATTGTATATATTCCATTTCCATCAACTCTGCTAAAGTTGCTGCTAAATACCGCACACTCTGCTTTAATGTCCTGCTAAGCATAAGGTTTAGGTGGGCTAAAATATAGATAGTGCATATATTGAAGGTTAGCTGTTAGCATCCTTTTGACCATTTCCTTCCATGACCTCCAAATCCCCCTGTGACTAGGTGAAAAAGCAATGACAGGTGTTTGGGCTTTAAGTGTCATGAATATCATTTGTCTTGTGATGTTTTCTATGGGACTGTGATATTTTGATGCCAACTTTGTATCTGTAACAATGGGCTAATACAGACTTGTAAATTTAACCCTTTAGCTATTTTAACCCATCTTTATAAGTAAATAGAGTATGAGAGATTATTTTAGCTAAATAGAGCTTTCTTCTAGTCCAGTCTTCAGTCCCCAGCGTTCAAGTCTGAGTCCTAGTCACTAGTTTCTCATTGACTTGCAGCTAGATAATAATAATGCTCAGTCAGTCAAAACTCCGGGAAACTTTAGCATTTCTCATGTAAGCTAGCTTGTAGCAGCTCTCGTTCATTCTCAGAGGTGATTAGACACTCTTGAAAACGGACATTCAAAGACCTGCTGTAAGTCCAAACACAGTGATACTTATCAACTGAACTTCGTAACTTTTACTGTTCAGAATCTAAACTTAAGCTCTGCAGGAAGTGGCTCATACTTCAAAATAAAAGCATAACACAATCATATAGGAATTAAAGCGACTTAAACGCAAGACAGATACAATTTCAAAATAAAAGCATGACAAAAATTATCACAATATTATTTCTTGTTATTTTTTTGGCCCTGATTATTGTAAGATGAAAATGTGATATCGTGACAGTCCTAATTGTGTAGCACAAGTGAAACACAACAAATTTAAGAGAATATTTTAAGAAAGAAAACTATACATTTCATATAAAAACTCGTACAGAACACACAGAAAATGTTTTAAATTTTCTGTAATTGCATTAACACTTTGTGTATTTCACAACTTTGGACTAATGCACATTTGCTGAGAGGCAGTATAACCATTTTAAACTTATTGCACTGTGTTTATGCTCAGGTGTTTGGTGCAAAAAATGTTCTTCAGTCTGTTTGTTTGTGCTTGAATGAATTATTGGGGTACTGCACAGAAATCAACATTAAAACAGTGTCTGATAATGAATAACTCCAAGTCTTCTTTCCCATTTTCCAAGTAAAAGTCTGAGTCATTAGAGCTCAACTTATGTGGCTTCATAGTGAATGAATTAGACAAAGTGACTGAGTTTGTTTTCCAGAACAGCATGTTAAGATGTTTATGAGCAGTTTTAATAAATCAATGATATCTTCTGTTATCTGTCTTTTAGCCATGCCTCTCACAAATTCTGCCCCTTCTAACAAAAGGAAGGCCAACAGGATCATCACTGACCTGTCCAACATCAGCCAGAACGGTAAAACAAACACACACAAACAACACACTAACAACATATTAACACAACACATGTAGGCTTTAAAACTTCCTCATCCGCATTCCTCGACGACCGTCCTCTTCCCTCCTCTGAGTCATTTAATCAGATTGCAAGTTTCTCTCTGCGGTGTCTGCTTTCTGCACAGCATGTGTAAGTAAATTAAAACTGCCTGGGTGTAAATCGCTGCACGAGGCCTTATACCGCAATTTAATAAGAACACACACACACTAACGCACACACACACACACACACACACACACACACACTTCTTAGCAGTAACACAATATCTAACATGCATGTGGCACCTCCAGGAGGAGTGTGGATCATTATCAGATGGCAGAGCAGCCACAAATCTGTCACCATTAGCGGCAACACAAAATAGCAGACGGTGATTCAGCTCACACCATATTTGTTTCAGGCTGTGTGGACTGACCAATGCAACTCTCAAAACCGTGGGAAAAAGTCTTCTTGACACTTGCTCCACGAATAGAAAATCTATTTGTTTTTGTGCTATTAAAGAGTAAAAGCTAAATCGCAATTTAATGGCATGTGTATAAATTCTACAAGTTTAATCTATGCTGCTCTCTCCGTGGAGCCGGATAAACTCAATAAAGCTGCAGAAGCGAATTTTCAAGCACAGATTTTTGGATTCATGAAGGAGACGTGTTTAATAAATTTCACCACCACCACATCGTGACCATCTGTTCATCTCACTGTGCAGCTAAACATTTTACAGATTTGCAGAACTTTCCTGGAGTTTATGTTGATAACTCAAAGTTTCCAAGAAACTGATCCACAGACTGGATTTTGGCTGAATGTGTGCAAAGCTGTAAGCCAAAGCAGTTGAGAAAAACAAAAGTACTGTACTTAACCCTTTAGTGCCTTTTGTATCATATTCGATGCACACTTTTATATACGACAACAAATTACTAAAAAAACACCTGAATACAGTCCGATAAATTATTAAAATGTCCTCTTGTAGTTTCTCAGTTTCCAAAAACATCTAATGTATCAAACAAGATAAATTAATATATATTTGTTCAATTTTAAGGACATTTTTATTTTTTCGGTTTTCAGTTGTGAGTGAAATAAACGTTTCAGCTCAAAAAAATTAGAATTTTCTGGCCATAATTTGTGGTGTCAGGCGTTAAAGGGCTACAGGACTAATTTTAACTATTTATTCTCTTATATATAAACATAGAAATTAGAGATGCACTACTGAATCCTGGACTTAGGAAGTGCAAAAATCTGCAGTCCCTCCAGCGGCCACTTGAGGCAGCCTCCAAAAGACAAGGAATCCCCATAAAGTCCCATTAAGACACCCATTTAGTTTTTTAAACATTTTGGCAAAGAATATGTATTAATTTGTACATTTAGAGATGATTAGAAAACAGTAAGGAAGATTTTATTGATACTAGGGTGACCATACATCTTCTTTTACCCGGACATGTCCTCTTTTTGGGGGGCTGTCTGGCCTTGTCCGCTTTGTCCGGGGGAGTTTATAAAATCCTTCAAATGTCCAGAGTTTTGTATGGAAGTTTTTAGTTTGTGTCATGTGGACTTACTGAGTTAGAAGCACGTAAAAAACATTAAATACGACATGGAAAACTCTCAAAATTAACTATGCGCCACTCAGTGACTCTGGCCCCGCGTAGTTGTGTCCTCTTTTCAGGGATTCAGAATATGGTCACTCTGATTGATACAGACGCTAACACAAAAATGAGGTCTATACAGCTTTCTCCGTTACAGCCAGTTTTCTTCAGCCTCACTTTAAGCGCACCGCTCTTTTGTCTTTCAACATCACACAATCATCAAACGTTGATGTGTTAGCAGTATCATTTCATTACGCTAGCATCCTGATGTTAGCCATCAGCTTGAAGCAGAGGCCTCAAAGAGCTGCTAGCCTAGCTTTGAGCCCTTAGTCGTGTTTAAATGTATTTTGAAACATTAGAGGACAACATTCACTCCCCTTATAAACAACAATACATCCTCGAGCATGCAATTTGCGAGTGCGCTTGTGTGCAGATGCTCATACTCCTCATTAATCTGTTGATGTCTTTCCCATTTGTGTTTTTTTTTTCATGTTACCACTCCCTCTCTTCGTCTTTCCAACAGTTTGTTTTCAGTCAGTCAGTCATTCAGGAGCTTATCCTGCTTATCCCTGTTTTTTTTTTTTTTTTTTTGCTCCAGTTAATGCCCACTCATCTCTCCATCATCCCCGCCTCTGTGTCGCTCTGACTTTTGTCCATCTCTGCGCCGTCCGTCTGTCCACCTCCTGTCCCTGTCAGTCTGTCCTGTTTCCCCCTAGTCAGCAGCCACCTCCAGTTTCACATTCTTCTGAATTAACACTCTAATCAATATCCCCATGGGAGGCTTTGCTCTTCTGAGCAGCCTCAATTACTCTCTCTCTCTCTCTCTCTCTCTCACACACGCTTAACACACACCCACTTGCCCAAGTCTGATTTATGATGTACTGCTAACAGCTCTCTGCAGCATTGCAATGCCAACTTCCAGCTTTATAGATGTGTTCGTGCATGTGCGTGCTTTTGTGTGTGTGTGTGTGCGAGTTTATGGCTGGACTCCAGGTGTTATGAGTGATATCAGAGTGTATATGTGGTGGATGAGGAGAGTGTTTTATGAGCAGCTCTGTGGAGCAGTAAAATCCATCAGATCTCTCCATCACTGAAAGAGGAGAGAGAGAGAGAGGGAGCATGTAAGAAGGATTTCCCTCCATAAACAGTTCGAGCAGAAAACCCACTCTGACATTCCCCGGTGCCCTTTTCTTCCATTTTACTCTGGCCCAGTAACCCATACGACTCCCTTGGTTTCACACACACACACATCCCTAAACATAGCACAACAGGTTTCAACCATAATTCATCATAACAAGGAGAGCACAGGCGCCTGAGGGTGAAAACACACCTTCGAATTTGTTCACACCTTCATATCCTGTATTCAATTTGAGATATTCAGAAAACAATCTCATTTCCTAAATGGAAAAAACTGATAAGATAAACCTTTATTCATCCCACGGTGGGGAAATTTGATAAGAAAGAGTGTCGCTATGAATGATTATTGAATGAAATAGTCTCTACAGGATTAATGTGGCAGAGAAAAGTGTTATTTCGCTCATATTTGGTAATTAGCGGTGAGTTTAATCAAAGCATAGCCTAGTTCAGTTTAGCTCAAACTTAATCCAAACACCATGCATGTAAATTGACACTAAAGCAGGGCACACACTACACGTCAGTAAAGACTGGATTATCAGATGGCCCTAAAGTTAATCTTGCCAGGTTATCCTGAGGGTGTGAAGTGTGTTATGAGTGATTTTTCTTCCCCCCAATTTCGGGGGAAGACGATCCAGTCCTCCCCGGACATGGAATCGTAAATTTTAACCATGTTCAAGATTTACGATCAGTAATCCATATGTGTGTGGGGGGGATCCCAGAGAACGGATAATTATGCTGTCTAGTGTCACATGATAGCCAATCAGGAAGAGAGCTGACATGTTTGTTTACTCTAAAACCGTAAGAGACTTTACGAGATTTCCTGGGATGAGAGTCAGGACTCTTGCCGCTGGTGAAAACTTTGTGTGTTTGGTGTGGAGAAACAAAACTCCTGAATACGTCATTATTTGTTGGGTCTCTGTCGTCAGCCCCCCATGATTAAAATCCACCTTCTTTGTCTGGTCAGATGATGAGTCAGACCCTGAAGCATCTGAGTTCGATCTGGGCACCAAGATCAAGACTCCCAAGGACACAATGCTGGAGGAGCTCTCCCTCTCCAAGAACAAGGGCTCCAAGATGTTCAGGATGAGGCAGCAGAGAGTGGAGAAGTTCATCGTAACCAACGAGAACACGGTATGAGTGAAGAGCAGGAACTGATTGTGATTTCATGTGTGTGTCAGATTCAAATGTTTCTAATCATTTACAACCTCTGGTTTTCAGCACAATCTCGAGAACCTGCTGATGTCCCCTCCCCCGATCCCACCAAAGCCTGAGATGCCCAAAGTGGAAGGTATAAACATGGATGCTCTTTCTCTATTTACTGCCTGTCTTTAGTATTTTAGAAACTCCTCTCCTGAGTTTATTCTCTGTGGTGTGATTCTTCAGTGGTGGAGGAGAAAAAAGAGGAGAAAAAGGTGGAGCAGAAGAGAAAGGAGGAGTACATACGCACCTATGTATCGCCATGGGAGAGGGCCATGAAGGGCAATGAGGAGCTGACAGCCACCATGAGGGCCTGCATGCCGGGACCCATCAGGATCCACCCAGAACTCCCTCTGTACAAGAGCTTCAACAGGTACGACTTGAACAAGAGTTATCCCCACCTTCATATGCAGGTTAAAAGTATGATATTAATCATGTAAATATAGTGAAAGGCAGGATATTAATTATAATCACATGGATCAAAATACAATTGTGGTCATATCTTTAAAGATTTTTGGTCTCCATTATTTTCAAAATTGGAGAATTTTGTGAATTTCAACTGTGAATTTCCCAGTTTGGGATCAATAAAGTCTATGTATCTATCTATCTATCTATCTATCTATCTATCTATCTATCTATCTATCTATCTATCTATCTATCTATCTATCTATCTATCTATCTATCTATCTATCTATCTAAAGAGGGACCAATGATCATTTGTAATTTAGTTGGTACAGATTTCTATGTATGCATGTGTATGAATATGTTCATATAAAGCCTATATGTATACACATTTAGGAACAGTTTGTTGATATCATTGTTGCTTCCTTTTTCTTTTTTAAAAATTCATTTATTTATTAACTTATTTTTGTTATTTTTTTCATTGTGTTCCTCTTTAATGAAATAGTCTGATTCTGTACCTTGTATTTATATAGTTTAAAAAAAAGAGAAAAAAGTGGACATTTTTCTTTGGTTGTCATATCATTGTGAAATAGAAAAGATGTTTAAAAAAAAATATATATATATATATATATATATAGCGAAAGGAAAGCTAAAAATATGTTCAAATCCTTAGACTCGTCTCACAAGAGCTCAGTACTTAAGTAAACCAACTTGATAAAACTAACTTTGATTTGTGGATTAACTGGACCGCTCCTTTAAAATAAACCCACACCACCTACATCAGCATTGAAAAGCGCCTCCTTCCCTACCTGCGTGTCCAGGCTTTACTCAGCAGATGACTAGATTTCACATAATGCACCACATAGCTGACATTTGGGAATGCACCATTATACTGACCACTAAGACAGCATCTGCCACAAACGTAATTATATTAATCTTATTTCGACCCTTGATCTCTGTCTGTTGTAATACTCTTAATGGTTGTTGAGTACCCCGGTAAGAGCAGCTGTATCCTCGGTAATTACTAATGGGTCTAAATGAGCAATAAACTGCGTATATGGGAGGATTATTCGACAAAGGCCCCCTGTGCACAGATATGAAAAAAAAGTTCCCTCCTGACTTAAAGACATAATACCTTGGAGATGTTGTTTGTCATTGTTTTGTGTCCTTTTCCAGTAGTAATGCAGTCATTTTGCATCCTGTGAGGTTGTTTTGTATACTTAAGTTACATTTTTTTTCGTTTTTGAGGCCAATTTTTATCATTTTGTGTCTCTTGGTTGCCATTTTTGTGTATTAATTTCATTAAGTTTTAAACTGAAAGTGCTAAGAGTCACTTCAGTTCAGATTTCTGCTCTATGTTTATCATCTTAATTCTTAATCCTGTTTGATGGGGTTACCTTGTCTTTCTTCATCTTTCTTTTTTCCTCCTCCCCTCTCTCCACAGGACAGCACTGCCATACGGCGGATTCGACAAGCTATGCAAGTCGCTGACCTTCGAACTCCCGGAGCTCAACATCGCCGACGAGGAAGCGGAGCCTTTGCCTAACCTGCAGGCCGACATCCGCTCACGCCCCTCATTTAACCGTACGCCAATCGGCTGGGTCTGCAGCGAGGACAACTCCCACATCCACCTGGAAGAGGACACCATCCCCTTTGATGGAGAGACAGATGACCTGTGAACATGCATGCACGCCTGAGCTTATTTACAGTACATGTAGCCTGAAAAACACACGCATCATAACTCCTAAAACACGCATATAACCTCAGATGAACACGTGCATGAGAGCGAGAGGTACACTGAAAACACAGAAGCTGTCAGGACAGTTTAGACTCCCATGAACACTTACCTCTGAAAGAATCTATGAGAGTGATCTCTCCTGGTCTCCTGTGTGCTTTCTATCTTTTCCTCCCTACCCATGATTGAGTCTTACTATGATTTTCATACTCTGAGCTTGTGTGAGACCTGTGTGAATTAATATAGATGGGCACTCTGCACTCTTGATACGATGTATTTACTCAATAAAGTTCCCCTTTACAGAATATCTTTGTGCTCTCTTGTTCAAATTTCATGTGTTTGTCCTGTACAAATAATAACTTACATTATCATACAACGAGTGAATCTGTTTGTATGATGTTTAATGTCTTTGTTTAACACCATCAAAACCTTTTCTTTAGTGCTTTCTAGGCTAGAAACTACTGGAGAAGATTAAAGAGAAAACAGTTTTTCAAAGATTCAATATTTTTTAAAGATTCAGAATTGTTTTCATAATGAGAATTAAGTCTAAGTAGAATCATATTCAAAGTTGTTAAAGGGATAAAATTAAGTTAGGGTCAATGAAGAAATGATCATAAATGTTCTTCCTTGAGCTGCGACACTCCACTGCAGTCAATGGATTTGCCCAGAGGTCTCTGTACAAACAAGTGGTTGCTGGAAGGGAGTGGGTAAGTTGTGTTTAGTCTCTTTGCTTAAGTTATCAGGCAACGTTAAAAGATGTTTGGTGGCTAGTACTATGGCTGGGACCCTGTATGTACTGTTGATGAAGTTAGGTGCTGTTCTGAGCATTATTTGTGGCTATAGAGTGGCGTTTTGGTTGAGGTTTGTTTATGGCTCCTCAGACCGCTGTGTATTTTTATCCTGCAGTCGTTACTAAAGTTGGTATAACTAGAGAAGCAAGCGGTCAGCAGCATTCATCTCTCGATGAGGTGTCTAACTCGGTGTTACGGTCCGTTTCAACAGATTTTCTTTAAACTTTACTCACATGAGAAAATTACTTAAATAAATACATATTTTTTTCTAATTATTATTTTATCCTTTTTTCTTTCAGGTTCAATTGCTGATTAGTTTTTCTTTATTATTATTATTTTTATTTTACATAACATTTCCCCCCCAAAAAACACACATTGTACTCATCCACACAATCAAGCGACAATATTCCTTACCATACAGTTTGAACAGCTGTGACTGATACTCCCTACTCCTGTCTCATTTGTGTTTTTGCTCTGCTTGCCTTTTTTGCTGATGGACCAACCATTATTTTTTATTTTTTTATTTTTTGCTTTTGATTTGTTTTATTGTCTCTGTTGGTGTAAATGTTTGCAGTATATATATATATATATATATATATATATATATATATATATATATATATATATATATATATGTGTGTGTGTGTGTGTGTGTGTGTGTATATATATATATATTTATATATTTAATTTAAAAAAAAAAGAGAGAGAGAGATCGAGAAACCACTGCTTTACATGTTCCTGACGGTGGAGAGCAGCAGAGACAAAACTAAGATGGAGACAGAAGGACAGGTAAATGCCACCTGAACAACTACGGGGTGACATCATCCCCATGCCCGTGCTCGTGCTCTTTCCGCCTCGTGCCCAGAAGGCGGCGGCATCGCGCTGAGCGAGCCTCCCTGATAAAACCGCTACGTCACACACCCTTCTCCATCTGCGAGCCTTGGAAGATGGCACGGTATCGCGAGAGCGGCTCGCCGCGACCGCAGCGCTGGATGGCGCTGGTGGGGGCTGGATGCGCCCACGGCTCGCCCTCTCTCCCGTTAAATCACACGGTAGGACACGCGAGCAGACGGAGACAGGCGGCGACAGCACCCGGGGTGAGTAAAAAAAAACCTGCTCACTTATACGCACAAGAAATGGGGGTCCGAGGCCGGGAACACGCGCATGTGACCGCACAGGACAGTAGAGGTGTGTGTGCGTGTGTGTGTGTCTGCGTGTGTGTGTGTGTTTACGGAGGAGGGGGCAAGTCAGCGTGTCAGCCAGATGTGATCCTCAACAGATGTGCTCTCGTGACAGTGTCGGAGGATGGCTGTCATCTTTTCCTCTCTCGTCTCCATCATTGTCACCCTCACTCTCTCATCAGCAGCGCGAGCCTGCCGCCGTTTCTTCCTCGTGTCATTATTATTTCACTCTGTTGCTCTCTATCTTGTCAGTTTTAGTGTTCAAACAGAGGTCTCGTGCTCCCACGATATACGCAGCAACTCTTCCTCGTGCTCTCTCTAAGTTCGCCCTCACAGTCTGAGCTCGTGTTTGCGGTTACAGGTGTTATTGTTCACATTCGCGTGCCACTACTGCGCGCGTGGCTCCCGTCTTGTAGTATACTGCGTGTTTTCGGTCTCGCGGGGCAGATACTGTACCCCCTTCCGCGTGGACTTGTTGATGGATGACCGAGAGACCGCAGCCTTTTTACCGAGGCGGATTCACGCGCCGCTGTCATCGCTCCCGGGGGCCGGTATTGATTTAACGTTGCGGTTTCGATCCGCGTGATTGATGACTTTGGCCCCTTACCGGGCCCGCATCACCGCCAGCGTACAGTGCCGTGACATTTGCAAAAGGGGGGGTGACACAGCCCTCTGCTGCCTGCCTCACGCGCGCGCTCACACGTGAATACCCTCAAAAAAAGGGAAAATAGGGTACATGCTAGACCCTTATTAAGCGACAACTCCTTTTCAGTTTTACTATGCTTGTGAGGACAAACTATTTACAGTAACTCCAATTGAACACGTCTTAATCCAACCATAACCCCACACCCACTCTATCCTCTGATTTAAACAATCAGTCTTGGATAAACTGTCATTTTCTTCATAATGGGGGGAGAAAAGGAGCGATCACTCACTCAGACTGATGCTCCCACCACATGGGCAAACACACACAAACACAGTGACACATCTTAACCTCTCGAACTCACCTGAAATGTTGACTTGACATTTAAACTGGATTTAACACCAATTTTAGCTTTTGAAGACAAAACTCTTGGTCTCTCTTTTTTCTTATTCTCTTTTTGCACAACCCTAAAATAAGTGGGGCACCTGTAAAGTGGTAATTATAACAGATTTTAATGGTTTCCAAATAGTTTAGAGCCTTAATTTAACCAGAAATATAACCAGAAATAGTGCAAAGTGAACTTGTATAAAATGATAGTTATGAAACATATATGCTTATTTTATTTTCTATGCCAGCCTGTATTTGAAAACAGTTTGGACTGGGACAACAAAACACTAAAAAAGATGTATTGCTTTTGTGAAAGGCCTTTTTTAGTGTGAAAACCTGCTTAAATGTCCTATTTTGTGTGCCTTATTCAATGTTACATCTTACATACAGCAATTTTCATATTTTATAACCTGTCTGTCATTGTTATATTAAGAGAATTTTCTTGACTTAGGGGTTTTAAGCTACTTCAACCTCTGAAACTCATCTGACTTATTCATATCAAATAATTTGCCCTTAATAACGTATTCAAGTCTATGACTACCAAAGGAAAACATCTCTACTTGTGCTGAAAAATTAAGCACAATCAGCAAGACACTTGTGATTTTGTGAATTATAATAGTCTACCAGGAAACTTGGCATTTGACCCCCTGTTGGTAGCACACATTTGACTTGGACCTCATACAACTCGACTTCAAAATGGCTAAGACAGGGGTCATGTTCTGCCTTCTGAAAAGTAAAAATTATAAAAGACTTTTTAAAGCGTCTGTGAAAACTTTTTAAGCTTTATGAAATTATCTGAAATTTTGATTGACTTCTTTCTGTGATAATCAAAAGCAAAATAAGAAACAGCCCTGTTTTTATCACTTATGCTCAAATATTAATTATAAATGACACATTTGACTGTCAAAATTCAGCAGTATGATAGTGACGGGAAAGGCACTTCTTCTAGATGAACTAAATCAGTAGAATCAGTTTACTAAAAAGATTCGTTCACCAAATCACTGAATCATGTAGCAGGAGAAGCCTGCGACTCCGACCTCCTGAACTGATAGCTGAATGTTTCAGGATTCAGTTTAATTCATAGCTTTTGGGACCTGGAAATGAGAGTGTTTAGCTGTGTTGCTTTGGCAAACAGGTTTGTAAAAATGAACTTGTTTATAAGTCATGATGTTTTAAGCGTGCTGTCCTATGGTATGCTATTTACCAGGTCTGCTTGGTAAATTGGGGTCAGTGAGTGATTAGTTCACTGAAGGTTTAGAGGAATTCAGACTGAACATGCACTGTTCCCTCGCAAACCGCTGCAATGATCGGATGCTGGAGGCTTGATGCACTACTTGTTACATGCTGTGTCCTATTGTATGAAAGTTGTTGTGGTGGCAATTTAGCAGTGAAAAAAAAGGTAGTTTTGTCTGACAAAAATGATTCCAGAGAGTGTAGTTCAATGCGTGATTCGTTCACCAAGTGATTCAGGTGTCAGTGCGTGTGGTCCCTCGTTCGACCGCTGCTCGACTGGCAATGCTGTTTCTCACTTCAACTCAACTGTAGTGAGAAATTAACAAATCACTCGAAGTAATTCAGTTCAGTACGTTCACGTAAAAGATTTGGTTCTTTTTAACGAATCGTTTGCGAACAACACAACACAACGCTACAGTACGAGGGTTTTTGTCTGAAGTCACCTCTTAAGCATGTGTAGGACGAAATAAACAAAGGCTGTTCAGTCCACATCAGGCGCCAGATCTAACCCAAACAGAAAGTTTCTCACAGGAGCTTTAAAATGTGTAATGTGTTATTGTAAAAATACATACAAAAATTATGGTATGCCTGCAAGAATATGGCGTGATTTTTCTGCTTTTCTTCGTATCCATATGACCACTGAGGTGATTATGATGAATTAAAGCACCATCACAGGAAACAGCAACATGTGCACATAGGTCTGCTTATT